AAAGATCGTCTTTTTATAAGGAAACCCCAGCCCTGTAAACAGGGAATAAGGGCCTACTTGGAGGTTCATGGTACTTATTAACCAATGATAAATGTACTTATAACTGTACTTCTCTAACCATATTAGGGCCCTTATGGGGCTTCTAAGTGGGTAATAAGTACAGCTAGAACTGGTTAATAAGTACCATGAACCTCCAAGTAAGCCCTAAACCCTAAACCCTAAACCCTAAGCCCTAAACCCTAATTAAACCCTAAACCCTAAACCCTAAACCCTAAACCCTAAACCCTAAACCCTCCGGGCCCTAGTGAGCCGCCCTCGGCCCCGTGCGCTTGGCTGGAGCGTTGCCGGCATGCCGCAGCTGAACTGGCGGTGAGGGACGTGGTTTGGAACGCGCACCCCCCCCACCCCCTATATATGTATATATGTATAAATGCAAAAAACATATATATATATATATATCTATCTATCTATCTATCTATCATATATACGTATATATACCCCCCCCCCCCCCCCCCCCCCCCCCCCCAAAAAAAAAAAAAAAAAAAAGATAAATGCATGATCGCATTTTGGGTTCCCCCCCCCCCCCCCCCTCCACGGATTGATGAACAACTCGAAGCCCTCAACCGCAGACTAGAAGCATGGGACTCGCGAAGAGATTTGGCACAAGCCTTCAACACTTCGGCAGAACACTGGGACCCCCAAAGTTCCCATGGCTTGCGGGCTTTGTGTTTAGGGGTTAAGGTTTACCCTGGCGCGTAGGGGTTAGGGTTTAGGGCTTAGGGTTTAGGGTTCGTACATGTTGCTTGTAAACCCAAGGCAAGAACCTTTTGGCCAGGATTCACACTACTAACAATGTTATTGTCATTCTCATTATGATTATTGCTATGAATATTGTCAGTACTACTATATTTTCTTGCCTTGTTCTTGTTACATCCTTCTTCTGATGACTACGATTATGATTCTGAGGAATTTTCCTTAACTGCCCTTATTACTCTTGTATTATCTTGTTTTTGCTAGCGTATGCGAAGGCCGACAACCCAAACCCTGAGCCTGAGAAAACAGGCTCCAACCCTAAAACCCGAAACCAAAAAAACCCAAACCCGAAGCCCCAAAAGCCCTGAACCCCAAACCCTGAACCCCTAGCACCGAACCCTAAACCCCCTGAAGGAGGCAGGCGAATTCCGAAAAATCTAAAGCCCCGATAATACAGTTCAGGGGTTTCAAGGGTTTAGGGTTTAGGCCCCTAAACCCTAACACCCCTACCCCCCCCCCCCCCACCTACCCTTGTCGAGCTGCTAGGTTTCTTGCCAGGAGAATGAAGGCAAAAGGCATATCACGCCGCGGTTTCTCAGGTCTTTGTTCTCGCAAAGGGTGCCCAGGGAATCCGGCAGAAGACGTGCCCTGGGGGTATTGCTGGGTGTTTCGGCGGCCTAGGACGGAAAGAAGGCACACTCTCTTGAGGTACTTACGAGGGCCCTAAGTATTGACCCTTCTAAACGCTAAACCCTAAACCCGAAACCCGCATATACCCCTTGTAGACCTTATGAACCCCAAGCTTACCTCTCCAACTACTCGCCTACTAGAGATTGAGTAGGGTTTGCGTTCAAGGGGTTCAGGGTTTAGGGTTTAAGTGTTTAGGGTTTATAGGGCTTAGGCTTTAGGGCTTAGGGTTTAGCGCTCGGGTTTAGGGGCCAAGGGGTGTTGGGTCTTTTGGCTTGAGCCTTCCGGAGTCCCCGGAACGAGGTGGAGAGGATCGTTTCTGTCCAGGGATCCACCAAGAACCGCCGTTGGGAGGGCGCCGGGGTGTTGAAGATAGGAACCCTACACCCTAAACCCTATACCCTGAACCCTATAATTACCTTGGGGTTTAGGGCTCAGGGCCAGAATTTTAGGGTATTCTCGAGGTCTACGATTCAAATTTTCAAAGGCCGGAATCCTTGGGGCGTGAGGGTTTACGCTATATAGTTCCTGAAACTGATGTTTGTAGCGTTATAGAGTTTAGGGGTTTTGGGGTCTGCAGGGGAGCACAGGGGTTGCGGAATGTCCCTGAACCCTTCATCCTCTCTGCATGGCTGAACTCTTCCCTCACAGATGGAGGGGGCGCTCGTCGGCAAAACGAGGCGGTGGAGAAAGCCGGTTTCGGACTTTGGCCCAAATAATTTAGGAGGGCTCAGCGTTTGTAGGGCTTGGGGGTTTAGGGCGGTTTCGGGTTTAGGGCTTCGGGGTTTAGGGCAGAGGGGGTTTGGGGATTCAGGTTTAGGGTCCAGAGCTCAGGGGCTTAGAGGTTTAGGGCTTATGGCTTCGGCCTTGGGGCTGAAGGCCTATAGGGCTTGGGACGTTCTTGGGCTTGGGATGAAGGCCCAGGGCCGAACGAGTCTCAAGGCCGGCGCTTCAGATACTCAAGGGACTAGTGGAGGGACCCTTACAAGGGACCTTAGGGGTAATTTCAGAGGCGACTTAGGTATATAGCCCGCGACATTTTGAACAATGCCCGCGAAAGTTTGTTCGTTGCCCACGAATGAGCTAAAGGGTTGAAATCTAGGCTTTAGGGTTTTAGGTTTCGGGTTTTGGGGGGGGGGGGGGGGATTGGGGGGGGGGGGGATTGGGAGGGGGATTGGGGGGGGGGGGGAGGGCGGCGTGTGTAATGATTGAGGGGTGTAGGGGATGGTTGGAGCTTGCAGGGTATGGGGTGGTTGAGGGGTTCAGGTTTGGACGTTCCCCCTTATGCTAACAGCCCTTAATAGGGATTCTCATGGGTGCCACAGCTCCCGATGAAGGACTAGAATCAGGCGGAAACTCCCAAAGGTACAGGCTTTTGGGGCTTCCGGCGTTTTTTTTTGTTTAGGCTCGGAGTTGAAAGCCGAGGCTTCCTCCAGCGCTCCCCAAGAAGGCCAGCGTGAAAGAAAACGGGCAAAGCTCGCAGACATTCGGCGATTTTTGGAGTTGACTTCAAGTGGGGTGCTGTAGGGCTTTGAGTGAAAAATCCCTACTCAAACCCTCTGAACAGTTCTCGAATCATGGTCCCGATTTTTGGGTGCCCTAAATAATGATATAGACCTCAAAAGGAACCATGTTTTAGAGAAGTGACCATCTAAAGCCAGAACACCCGATTCCTATAGAAGCCGAAGCTCTGAACCCCAAACCCTAAAACCCTAAACCCTGAACCCTGAACCCTGAACCCTGAACCCTAAACCCTAAACCCTCTCAAACTGTCTGCGAGCGACTGCCGCACGGGTCCACGTGTTACGGCAGCGGTGCTGAACGGAATTCGCCCGGAGCTAGATGAGGCGTCATTGAGGCGCCCAAAACTTCCGCAGGAGGCTCAGGGTTGCAGGAGTAAGGGTTTAGGGTTTAGGGTTTGGGGTTTGGGGTTTAGGGTTTAGGGTTTGGGGTTCAGAGCTTACCCTAAACCCTGAACGCAAAATGCTCCGAGAACGCCTTCTACAAACATTGTGGTTTAGGGTTTAGGGCTTAGGGGCCCTAAACGCTGAAACCCTAGAACGCCCTAACTGCTAAAACCCTATTGTAAACCCTTAACCCTGAACCCTAAACCCCAAATGCTGAAACCCTACAATGCAGGTAGGGGAGTGTAGGGCTGGGGGCTCAGGGACCATCCCTCCTCCAATGTGATCTCCGGCAAATGCAGCACAGGCCATGCATTTGGGCCTGAGCCTATGCCAAGCGAATTCTTGGCGTCGCAAAAACAATGGCTAGCTGCAGTATGGGGCATGCTACCCTAAGCCCTAAGCTCTAAACCCTAATCCTGAACCCTTTCTACCACTCTTTGCTTAAGAACCCCCAAACATGGAATATAATAATCCCTACATTGCCCTTTAAAGGAAGAACATTCTTGGGGGTTCTTAAACAAGTAGTAGTCTACCCCCAAGCCCTGAACCCTCTTCGTCGTCCCTGAACCATCAAGCCTCCGCTCGGCAACACTGAATGAGCAACCAAGTTCCCAACCCCGATCTCTTAAGGTGGCTGCATGGTGCCTTAGTATGGGCCTTTAAAAGGGGACACCTTCTATACCCCTTAGGTACCGTATACAAACTAAGGGCCCTCATGAAACTGCCCTCAGATGGTGGGGACTACTACTTAAAGTTTGATGTTGAGGGTACCCTTAACCCGAACCCCTAAGCCCTAAACCTAAACCCCACCCCTAAAACCCTCAACCCTAAACCCTAAACCCTTAACCCTCAACCCTAAACCCCAGACAGCCCCAATCCACGCCGAAAACCCGCACCCTGAGGCCGAGGTTTTCCAAAATTCCGCTTGGGCAAGGCAGCCCTGAACCCTAAAACCTCAACCCTAATCCTAAACCCCAAACCACCCCAATCCTAAACCCTGAACCCGAAACCCTAAACTCTAAACCCTAAACCCTAAAACTGAGGTTTTCCAAAACTCCGCTTGGGCAAGGCAGCGTGGGAGCCAGCACAGGCAGGAAAACGGAGCTGAGACACAGGGCGCAAAGCCTGGGAGGAGGCGTTCAGGGGCTCGCAGGGGCTTCCGGGCCCTAACCCCCTAAACCCTAAACTCTAAAATCTAAACCCTAAACCCTATTCAGGGTTCAGGGTTCAGGGTTCAGGGTTCAGGGTTCAGGGTTCAGGGTTCAGGGTTTAGGGTTTAGGGTTTAGGGTTTAGGGTTTAGGGCTGGGCTTGTTACATGGTCCATAACATGGCCCTTTTCAAGGGTTCTGATGTATGGGCCCTGGGATTGTATCGGGCATATTAGGGCATGGCGTATGCATTTAGTGTCCATATGAAGGGACCATGAAACTACCCTGAATATTTGGGTACATTGGACCCTGCATGTCTTGGGCATGTTCAGGGGGGTTTGTGTCTCTGCCTGCTAAACCCTAGCCAGCACTGCCCACTCGAGTCACCAAAGCACCAGCCAACATCTGTCAGGGTTTGGGGTCCAGGCTTTCGGGTCTAGGGCTCCAAGGTTTTTAGGCTGCATCTTAAGCTCACGGATGAGGAAGCCAGAGCAGTGAAACGGTTTAAGATTCGAGACGAGTCGCTATCTCGGGCGATTTCAAATCCAAGGACAGTTGCTTGGCCACCTCTGCGATGTCCATGACGACCTCCCCTTCTTCCTCCTGCCAGACGCAGACCAAGCCGCTGGTGCCGGGGCTGCTCAAGGCATAAGGCACACGGAACAGGGCATCCGAGTCAGCGGGCATCTCTTCCACTAGCGTGAGCTGGCCCAAAGGAAGGACGCACTGCTTGGCACGCAGTGTCACCCCCTTCTTGGAGCTTGCCCGGTTGTAAACCCACAAGTGCCACGACGACTCTTCCTTGTCGAACGTGGCGATGGAGTAGATATCATTGCCCAGCTCCTCCCCAAGGGGTACATGTTCACCCTGGCGCAGCTCTTGGACCAAGCCCTAAACTGTAACCCCTAAACCCTAAACCCTAAGTCTGTGACTAAGGAACGAAAATGTTAGTTAAGAGTGTGAGAGGGATTGCGTCATGGAATGTGGTGCTTTTGGCCCGGTAGTGACTAATTAGCCATCGCAAAAAACCCTAAACCCTAAACCTTGAGCCTATAAGCTTACAACTAACTCGCCTTCATTCATGACTTTTAAAAAAGGACCAAAGGCCGATGCCTAAACCCTAACCCCTAAACCCTAAACCCCCGAACCCTAAAACCCTTCATCCCGAAACCCCTCATCCCCAACCAATTCAACCCATCAGGGGGGTTCACGAAAATTCGGGGGTCCGTAATATAAGGGAATCCTAAACCCTATTTAGGGGGCCTATCTTTAGGGTCCCCTATTAAAGCGTAAACCCTCCATCAAGTGTGGGACGAGCAGCGCCGGCAGTGCAGACTGCTTAGTCCACATCGGCCACATCGCCCTCCTTGTCAACGTTTTGCGATTTGGAGTTTAGGGCTACAGCCCTAAACCCTAGCCCTAAACCCTAAACCCCAAACCCTATACCCTAAAACCCTAAAACCCTAAACCCTAAACTAACAGAGCTTGGAGTGCTGGGGGCGCTATGGGGCTGGAGTTGGCGCTCTGACTCAATGCAGGGGCCTAAGGTTCTTCAGGGTTTAGGGTTTAGGGGTTTAGGGTTTGGGGTTTAAGGGTTCAGGGTTCAGGGTTCGGGGTTCAGGGTTTAGGGTTTAGGGGTTTGGGGTTTGGGGTTTGGGGTTTGGGGTTTGGGGTTTGGGGTTTGGGGTTTGGGGTTTGGGGTTTGGGGTTTGGGGTTTGGGGTTTGGGGTTCTATTTTGGGGGTTTTAGTTTGAGCTTGCGCTGACGCAGGCCGTCGACGTAGACGGCCTGCATCGTAACGTGCCCATGGTGATGCCCTCTCTTTCTCCAAGATGAAGGGTATGTGAGCCATCATGACGCAGGGGGGGAGAGAGAAACCCTCAACCTAAACCCCAAACCCTGAACCCTAAGCCCTAAAACCTAAACCCACCAATGAACCACGGGGGGGAGAAGGGCAAACCCGAACCTGAACCGCTTCAGCCCTGAACCCTGAACCGTAAACCCAGCACGAACCACAGGGGGGAAGGGTGAAACCGCAACCGACCATAACCCCAAACCTGGGACCCAAAACTCAAAACCCACCGTGAACCAGTGGACCAAGGGGGTCAGAGTGAAAATCCTGAACTCTACAGCCGAACCCTAAACCCTAAACCCATGAACCACAAACCATGAACCACAGGGCGGGGGACCCACCCAAAACCCACCATGAACCACAGGGAGGAGGGTGGGGGGGGTGCGCCTATGCTGGCACATATAGGGTTTAGGATGGTTGCTGTGAGTTTGCAGTCGAGTACACGGCCTTGAGAACCCGAAGCACTGCACGTAACAGCGTGTCTACTCTTTAAGTGTTCCACCCAAGTTCACACTTTTGTCTACCGTTTCAGAGACCCGAAAAACATGGAAAAACAGTCTGTTCCAGGATGCATTTTGTCATGGACGTATTCACTGTTCGGGAACGGATGCCCTGGCCACTCGTCCGCACTGGTAACATGGCGAGGAGGAAGAAAAAGTTCGTGAAATGAAGGAATGCCTAGTGGCAAAACCGGGGGTCTGGACAAAAAAAACAGTTGCTGAGTACCCTGGGGGAAAGTTTAACCTTCCAAATAGGGTAGGATTGTTTAATTCTACCCTCCCAAAGAAGGTTACCTACCTAGAGCCAGGAGTAACCGAGGAATTGGTTTTAGGAGGATTCTAATGCCTAAGAAAAGGAAATAAGGGCCTACTCTGGGTCTTACCTAAGTAGAAGGGATGCCCTAAACCCTAAACCCTAAACCCTAAACCCTAAACCCTAAACCCTAAACCCTAAACCCTAAACCCTAAACCCTAAACCCTAAACCCTAACCCTAAACCCTAAACCCTAAACCCTAAACCCTACTCAGCTGATAAGTAGAAGGGATGTCCTTCGGGCTCGTCGGCGGTGCCTCGGGCTCCGGAGACTTGGCGCCCTCCTGACGGTATAGGGTTTAGGGTTTAGGGTTTAGGGTTTAGGGTTTAGGGTTTAGGGTTTAGGGTTCAGGGTTTAGGGCTTCGGGTTTAGGGTTCAGGGGCTTTGGGGTCTAAGGTCGATGGTTGGGTTTCTTAAGGGAGGGGGGTTCATGGGGGCTTGGGGTTCAGGGTACCTGGGAAACCTTAGGGAAGCTTTGGGAGCCTGAGGGAGTAGTGGGGAGTATTAGGGAACCTTCGGTTACGTACCCCCCCCCCGAACCCCCCTCCCTTAAGAACCCTATAATAACTGACCCTAAACCCTAAACCCTAAGCCCCAAAGCCTAAGCCCTAAACCCTAAACCCTCTCTTTAAACCCGAAACACTATAAGTTGATGATTGAAGCTTAGTCGACGTCCTGGAGCCCTGTGACATATCAGCGTGCTGCTTGCCGAAAACCCCAAAACCTCAAACCCTAAAACACTACAACCCCAAACCCTACACCGTAAAATCCTACACCCCAACCCTCAAACCCTGAACCCGAATCCGCAAAACCTAACACCGTAAACCCTAACAACCTAACACCCTAACACCCTAAAACCTTTAAAAACCAAAAACGCTAAAACCCTGAAACCCTGAAACCCTAAAACCTAAGCCCCAAAGCCTAAACCCCAAACCCTAAAAACCCTAAACCCCTAAAACCCGAAAACCCGAAAACACAAAACCACAAACCCCAATTTCTAAACCCTAAACCTAAACTTCTAAAACCCTAAAACCCGAAAACCCAAAACCCCACACCCCAAACCCCAGTTCCTAAACCCTAAGCCCTAAACCTTAAACCCCTAAAACTCTTAAACCCTAAACCCGAAACCCTAAACCCTAAGCCCTAAACCACCACAAACCACAAACCCTAAACCCTAAACCCTAAACCCGAAACCCTAAACCCTAAACCCTAAACCTGCACTGTGGGCCTCGGCCTTCGGCTCCGCAGGCGGCTCAGGGGCCTTGGGCTTCGGCTCCCTGGGCTGGCGGGGGTTTAGGGTTAGGGTTTAGGGTTTGGGGTTTAGGGTTTAGGGTTTAGGGTTTGGGGTTTAGGGCTTAGGGTTTGGGGTTTAGGGTTTGGGGTTTGGGGTTTAGGGTTTAGGGTTTGGGGTTTGGGGTTTAGGGCTTGGGGTTTAGGGTTTAGGGTTTGGGGTTTAGGGTTTAGGGTTTAGGGTTTGGGGTTCAGGGTTCAGGGTTCAGGGTTCAGAATCTTTGGGGTTTGGGGGTTAGTGTTTGCGGGTCTATGGGTTTAGGGTGTTTAGGGTTTGTTGTTTTTAGGGTTTAGAGGATTTGGGGTTTGGGTGGGGGGGGGGGCGTTTCGGGGGTTCAAGGGCGTTAGGGTTCACAGGGTCTTAGGGGCTTTAACCCTAACCCTAAACCCTAAACACTAAACCCTAAACCCTCAACCTAAACCTCTCCACCCTAAACCCTAAACCGTTTTGAGGTTGACCCCGGCCTCAAAATTTCGTCCGCGAACTTCGCGAGCTCCTGGTTCTTCTTTTCCAGGTCTGAGCAGATCCTTGAAATTTGGTGGGCTGTTGTTTAACGGCTTGGGTCTAGGGTCTAGGGTCTAGGGTCTAGGGTCTAGGGTTTAGGGTTTAGGGTCTAGGTTTAGGGTTTCCGGTCGGGGGTGTAAACGAAGTGGGTCAGGGATTCGGGTTCTCTGGCCTCGGTGGTTTCAGGCTTCGGGGCTACGTTACGGCCGAGGGACAGGGTCAGCTCCCAAAAGTGCAGTTCTGTTTTGATTTATTGTTTTATTGTGTTTGTTTCTATCGTTTTTTTGCGGTGGTCCTCAACGAAGAGAGGTTTATGGTTTAGGGTTGGGTAGTTGGGTAGTCAGTGTGGTTAGGATCGGGTAGTAAAAATCATTAGCGAATTTAGGGCATGTGGGGTTCACGGGCAGCAATCAACGGGACCGAGCTCGTACCTCGAAGGCTGAACCCCAAATCCCAAACCCCAAACACCAAACCCTGAACCCTGGTTCCCCGCATAGGCCCCAACATCGGAGGCTCACCCTTGGTAGGGATTCTAGTGCCCCATGATTAACATCCCAACCAGAAACCCTATTCTTAAGGGTCTTCTTAAGGACTGTCAGCATAAGGGGGGGACATCCCCGGAACCCTGAACCCTAAATCCTAAACGCTGGCTCCTGGACCCTTTGGATCTGGGGTCAACATACCAGAGCAAGCTTACATGCTAGCACGGCCTGTGGGCCTACAGGCACCCGAACTTGAGAGACCGTCAAGCCTCCAGTCTTGGGGTTTGGGCTTTTCGGGTTTAGGGTTTCGGGGCTTTTAGGGTTTGGGGTTTAGGGCTTAGGGTTTAGGGTTTAGGGTTTGTTTAGCGAGCTTGGACGGTTCATCGCAGCTGAATTGAACACCCCTCAGGGGAAAAGACACCCAGACGAAGCATCAGAGCGCATGACATGCATCAGCCACCCTTCTGCAAGGATTGCAGCTTGCACTACTTTAGCATTAGAGTTTGGGCTTTAGAGTTTCAAAGCCCCTTTAAAGAAATTTCCATTTCATGTTTTGTAAGGGCGGAAGGGCTAGGATGCAGTGCTCAGCAGAAACATCTGGTCTCTGTCAGGGAGCAGGACAGGCTTCTCGTGCTTGGGCATCGCAGCTTGCTGAGCCTCGCGTACCGGACAACGTGGTGAGGGGATTGGCAGGGCAACGCCCGAATCTTCAATTCAACCTGAACCCTAAAATTCAGAACTTCCGCACTAACCGAGGGCTCCACTAGACCCAAGAGTACTTGGAGGTTCATGGTACCTATTAACCAATTATAAATGTACTTATAACTGTACTGATATCCATATTAGGGCACTTAAGGGGCTTTTAAGTGGGTGATAAGTACAGCTAGAATTGGTTAATAAGTACCATGAACCTCCAAGTAACCTAGGAAAAAAAAGCACCTTTTCTTTTTTGAGGAAGCTTCCCTGCACGGTCCTTCTTCTTGTGGCCCGGTGCTTCTTCTTCTTATCATTATTATTCTTCTTCTTCTTCTTCTTCTTCTTATTGTTCTTCTTCTTCTGTTTCTTCTTCAGCAGCTTCCTGAGGCCCTTTCTCGGCACGGTCCTTCTTCTTCAGCAAGAAGAGGGTTTGGCAGCCTTCTGCATCGTGATCATCGGTCGGCATCTGGGGTGTTCCCAACACACGGGGGCTGTTGGGCTGTTGGCAATGGCCAGAAGGTCGGAGTGGTAGCAACCCGGCTGTCGCCACCCACTGGAGCCCAAACGTCCAGCATTCTTGGACTTCCAAAATGCCGGTTTAGGGTTTAGGGTTTAGGGTTTAGGGCCGTTTCCCCTTTCATAAACGCATGAAGTTCTTCCAGTACTGGCGGACTTTTGGGAAGTTGAAGGCCTGAGGGTGCAACCTGGTGCAACCGGCTACAAGTGAAAATCAGGGCCTACTCTGGGCCCTAGCCCTAAACCCTAAACCCTAAACCCTAAACCCCAAACCCTAAACCCTAAACCCCAAACCCTAAACCCTAAACCCTAAACCCAAAAAGGGCTTCCTCCAAAAAAATCTTGCTGAGCTCTCCACTAAAAAGCTGCGCTTGGGCGCGAGGCTTGCCAGTGGGGCTTTCGATCCAACCGTCAGAGTTTAGGGTTTAGGGTTTAGGGTTTAGGGTTTAGGGTTTGGGGTTTAGGGTTTAGGGTTTAGGGTTTAGGGTTTAGGGTTTAGGGTTTAGGGTTTAGGGTTTGGTACCTAAGGGTAAAGTTGAGGGGTGTAGGGGTTTAGGGGTTTAGGGGTTTAGGGTTTAGGGTTTAGGGTTTAGGGTTTGGGGGATTTAGGGTTCTCGGTTTGGGGGGTTAGAGGGTTTAGGTTTTAGGGGGTTTGGGGGTTAAAGGGGTATCGGGTTTTGGGGTTTCAGGTCTCCTGAAGGTTGGGCGGCTTGATGTTTAGGGTCCGCGTTTACGGGTTGTGCAGAGGGGTTTATAGGGTGGGGGCTCAATTGTGCAGGAGTTATTGTGCTGCAGCCCCCTGCAATTTCGAATCAAAACCCCAAATGCTGAGACCCTAGAACTTGGGTGTTCCCCCTTGTACTGCCAGTCCTTCATGGGGATTCTAGTAGGGGGTACTAGAGAATACCGATTAAGGAGTGTTAGTTAGGGGGGAACATCCCAACCCTCAACCCTCAACCCTCAACCCTCAACCCTCAACCCTCAACCCTCAACCCTAAACCCTAAACCCTAAACCCTAAACCCTAAAACTCTGAACCCTAAAGCCCAAAAAACCCTGTCGGGGGCCTGCATGCTCTCGAGCCACGAAGTCAGGGAGTCGCACTCCTGTCGTTTGAGAGTTTAGGGTTTAGGGTTGGGAGTTTAGGGTTTAGGGTTTAGGGTTTAGGGTTTAGGGTTGGGAGTTTAGGGTTTAGGGTTTAGGGTTTAGGGTTTAGGGTTTAGGGTTTAGGGTGTAGGGTTTAGGGTTGGGAGTTTAGGGTGTTTAGGGTTGGGGTTCCCGTACTTTCTTGTAGCTTCTTGCGTGCCTTTTGTGTGTCGGGCCGGGGGGGGGGGGGGGGGGGGGGGGGGGGGAAGGGGGGGGGGGAAGGGGGCTGAGGGTAGGGTGCCTGAAGTTTCCTAAGGGCCTGCAGGCTTAGGATTTGAGGGTTCCAGTGAAGCCGGAAACCCTAGACTGTAGACATATTAAGTGGAACCCTTGGACCCCCAAAGCCTAAACCCTAAACCCTAAACTCTAAACTCTAAACCCGAAAACCTAAACCCTGGACCCTAAGCCCCAATCCGAAGATCCTTGAACCCAAAACCCGAAACTTCTAAAAGCTTGGGGGTTGAACTTCTCATCCCTCTTTAGGGTTTAGGGTTTAGGGTTTAGGGTTTAGGGCTTTAGGGCTTAGGGCCTCTCGGGAGCCCAGTAAACACATCATACTAAGGGCACCCTTTTTGGGGTTGGTGATGTTTTAAAGGGAACCTTGAACCCCCTAAACCCTAAACGCTAAACCCTAAACCCTAAACCCTAAACCCTAAGCCCCCCCCCCCCCCCGCCAAAAAAAAAAGGAAAAGGGTACCACTGGGCTTCCAAGGCCCAACAGCCCAAGCCTCTACGTCCCTCAGACAGGGTTTAGGGTTTAGGGTTTAGGGTTTAGGGTTTAGGGTTTAGGGTTTAGGGTTTAGGGCATAGGGTTTAGGGTTTAGGGCATAGGGCCTAGGGCTTAGGGCTTAGGGTTTAGGGTCTTGGGTTCAGGGTTTGGAGGTCTATCCTTGACGATCTGACCCAGCTTGTCCGGCGAGATATGGCTGTACCTGATCTGCTTTGGGGCTTTCGGGGAGGTTTTGGGGTAGATGGGCTCTTAGGGCAAAGTGGCTTGAGGTTTAGGGTTTAGGATTTAGGGTTTAGGGTTTAGGGTTTTTTCGGGCAGCTTTTACTATAAGTGGGCAGGGGTTAGCAGGAACTTAAGAATATTGGCAATCTAGGGTTTCCGGTCCCTTTGCTGAGAATTTATGGAGTCTCGTGTCTGGGGTGTAAGAACCAAATCAACGATAGACCATCAAGAACAAATATAGCGGAAACGAAGGTAAGAGGATGAAGAAGGGGCGATGGTGTAGTAAGGGGACCCTGTTTTGGGTAATGCACATTGAGAGGGAGGCTCCTGTTTCTACATCTCCGACTGAGAGGCCGAAACCCTAAGCGCCCCTAAACCCTATACAGCCTGACCCTAAACCCTTAACCCTTGACCCTAAACCCTAAACCCTAGGCCCTAAACCCTAAGCCCTAAAGCCCAAACCCTAAACCCTAAACCCTAAACCCTAAACCCTAAACCCTAAACCCTAAACCCTAGACCCTAAACCCTAAACCCTAAACCCTAAACCCTATACCCTAAACCCTAAACCCTACACAGCCTCTTGCATCGCAGACTAGAGAGGACCTAGACCTCAAACCTTAAACCTTCCCTTATGGGGTTCTGAAGAGAAGGGGTTTCAAGGGGGTTTAGGGTTAAGGGTTTAGGGTTAAGGGTGTAGGGTTTAGGGTTAAGGGTTTAGGGTTAAGGGTTTAGGGTTTAGGGTTTAGGGATACTTAGGGGAAGCCTATAGGGAGCCTTCGCGAGTCGAGGGGAGTCTTAGGGAACCTTGGGTTCGATACCCCCCCCTCCCTTAAGAATCCTGAGCCCGAAGCCCTAAAAACCCCAAGCTCTGCAGCTCAGGGCTTAGGGGGTCTGGGGGGGTCTGGGGGGTCTAGGGGGTCTAGGGGGTCTACGGGGTCTACGGGGTCTACGGGGTTTAGGGGTTCTATGGGTTTAGGGGGTTTGGGGGGTAGGGGGCGGTGTTTAGAGGGGGGGTTTTGGGGGGGTTAGGGGGGGTTTAGGGGGGGGTTTAGGGGGTTTTAGGGGGTTTAGGGGGTTTTAGGGGGTTTTTTTAGGGACTTTAGGGTTTAGGGTTTAGGGTTTAGGGTTTAGGGTTTAGGGTTAGGGATGGGGTTAGGGTTTAGGGTTTAGGGTTTAGGGTTTAGGGTTTAGGGTTTAGGGTTTAGGGTTTTTAGGGTTTAGGGTTTAGGGTTTAGGGTTTAGGGTTTAGGGTTTAGGGTTTAGGGTTTAGGGTTTAGGGTTTAGGGTTTAGGGTTTAGGGTTTAGGGTTTAGGGTTTAGGGTTTAGGGTTTCGGGTTTCGGGTTTAGGGTTAAGGGTTAAGGGTTAAGGGTCTAGGGTTTAGGGTTTATGTTCAGAGGGCTCCTGGCTCAGCACAAGAGGCGGCGTTGTGCTTTTTCAACTCCCTGCGCCCTGTGCCGTCAAAAAAAAAAACCTCCCCCGAAACTCGAACCCATCCACCCCCTAACCCTAAACTCTAAACCCTAAACCCTGAACCCTGCACCCTAAACCCTCCGGCCCTGGTAGTTTGAAGGCAAGCCACATCTCTCCCGGGGTCTTGGCCGCGTTGGCGTAGTTGGTGATGGTGCCTGCTGGCCCAAAAGCTGCACACCCTCACGGCCCTACACGCCCTACCGTGCTGAGCCCGACACCAAACCACCACAACGAAACCCTAAACCCTAAACCCGAAACCCTAAAACACATTCTTGACCATAAGCGCTTTGGGGTTTGGGGGGGTTCCGGAAGCTTCCAAACCCCTTAAGCTCAGGGGCCTGAGGCCATGAGTGTTTAGGGTTTAGGGTTTAGGGTTTAGGGTTTAGGGTTTAGGGTTTAGGGTTTAGGGTTTAGGGTTAGTATGGGCACTCGGGGGTGTAGAGGGGTTTCGGGTTGAGGGTTTCAGGGAAGGCTTTGACGTACGGGCTCAGTACAGGCCCGAAGCCCAAAACCCAGGAAACGAAACCCCTAAACCCTAAACCCTAAACCCTAAACCCTAAACCCTAAACCCTAAACCCTAAACCCTAAACCCTAAACCCTAAACCCTAAACCTAAACCCTAAACCTTAAACCTTAAACCCTAAACCTTTCAACTCTTGCGGAAGGCCTCCTGAGTTCTGGAGCTCTAGCGTTCATCAGAAACCCTTTAAAGGTTTAGGGTTTTAGGGTTTTAGGGTTTTGGGGTTTTAGGGTTTTAGGGTTTTAGGGTTGCAGGGTTTTAGGGTTTATCACACCCCGAACCTCCAGCCTAAAACGCCAAGCCCTTCACCCTCGACCTTGCCACGGGAGTTTCGAGCGCCTGCCCAAAAAAAACAACCCCAAACCCTAAACCCTAAACCCTAAACCCTAAACCCTGAACCCTGAACCCTGAACCCTGAACCCTGAACCCTGAACCCTGAACCCTGAACCCTGAACGCTGAACCCGAAGCCTTACATAATCGATGGACTCTCAGGTACCTTAAGGCCTCAACCCCAAGACCAAGTGGGATGCTGCAGGGCTGTGGCCTCGGAGGGCTACTGAAGGCTTTTAAAGGGATTCCGGAACCCTAAACCCTAAACCCTAAACCCTAAACCCTAAACCCTTAACCCTTAACCCTAAACCCTAAACCCTAAACCCTAAACTAAACCCTAAACCCTAAACCCTAACCCTAAACCCTAAACCCTAAGAAAGAAGGAACCTGGCCTTGCACAGCCTGGACCCAATCGCCTCGCATTTCATCCTCCTGCCAATGAGATCTGCGCGAAAGGGTTTAGGGTTAGGGTTTAGGGTTTAGGGTTTAGGGTTTAGGGTTTAGGGTTTAGGGTTTAGGGTTTAGGGTTTAGGGTTTAGGGTTTAGGGTTTAGGGCTTAGGGCTTAGGGCTTAGGGCTTAGGGTTTAGGGTTTAGGGTTTAGGGCACACTTAGGCGCCTAAACCCTAAATCCGAAACCGCTTTAGGGGCTGAATACCCTAGCATATAGTAGGAGTCGTCTATATAACCAAAAAACGATACAGGTTACCTACCCAGTCCCTAGGAACTCGAAACCCACCGTCCTTGCCTAAACCCGAAATCCTAACCCTAAACCCGAAACCCCAAACCCAGCGTCCTTGTGCCTGAAAACGACAGGGTCACCCAGCTTCTTCAGCTCGTCGAGTTTCCTCGTCTCCACATTCCAGGGTGTAGGGCTTAGGGCTCAGGGCTTAGGGTTTAGGGTTTGGGGTTTAGGGTTTAGGGCTAGGGTTTAGGGTTTTAGGGTTTAGGAGTCCAAGGTGAAGCCGCGCGGAACCGGAAAGTCCCCTGCAGAATCGAACCCAGCAGCCCTGGAAACCACCAACCGCCCAGAAGAGCCCAGACCCTAGGGTTTAGGGTTTAGGGTTCAGGGTGTTGGGTTTAGGGTTTAGGGTTTAGGGTTTAGGGTTTAGGGTTTAGGGTTTAGGGTTTAGGGTTTAGGGTTTAGGGTTTAGGGTTTAGGGTTTAGGGTTTAGGGTTTAGCATCTTGGGTCTGGGAGTGAGGGTTTATGACCCACCCTGCCCACACCCCAGAGCCCGAACACCACAAAACCCCGACCTTAGCTCAAAATGGCCCCACCCCATTCGGTTAAAGGCCATTTTCCAGGGCGCCGTAGGGGAGGAACCCCACCCCCCCCCCCCCGTTTGGGGTTTAGGGTTTAAACTGCAGCCGAGCCACTCTATGTACTGCACCTGGCTGCTTTGAGCGCCGGAGAAGATGGGAAGCATTGGGATTTCGATTCTGGGGCTTAGAGAGATTTAGGGCTTGAGGGTTCAAACAGGGTTTAGGGTCTAGGGCTATCTGCTCCGTTGCCTGTCCGACTGCCTAAAAGCATCTTCCTTTTAGGGTTTAGGGTTTAGGGTTGGGGGTTTAGGCTACCAAAAAGCACGCCATTTAGATTTACTCCCTTGGGCTATCTCTATCATAGGGTCAACCGGGGTGGGGTTGAGGGCCCTTCAAAAAAATTCCCTGGGTTAAGAAGATTATACGAGGTTTGGGGGCAGGCGACCTTAAAAAACCCCAAACAAGTCCCACTAAACTCTACACCCTGAACCCAAAACCCTAAACCAGCCCAGTTAAGGGAACCCTAAACCCCCTCAACCCCAAACCCTAAACCCTAAACCCTAGACCCTAAACCCCGAACCCTAAACCCTAAACCCCGAATCCTAAACCCTAAGCCCTAAACCCTGAGCCACCCCCAGAATCTTTGACCTAAAGCCGCAGGGGTGCACCTTCGTGGCATCGAAGGTGTCGTAGAGCCAGTCCTGACACCCCCAAACCCACCAGCCTCGGGCTTCGGGGGGTTTAGGGTTCTAGGGCTAAACTCGAAGCCCTAAACCCTAAACCCTAAACTCCACCCAACGGAGAACTCGCAAGGGGTCGCCACAGAACCGCGTCCTCGGCCTTGGTGAGATCGGACTCGAACTTTTCCCTCTCCTGGGGGGCTCTTTGGGACTTTTAGGAATTTAGGGTTTAGGGTTTGGGGTTTAGGGCTAGGGTTTTAGGGCTTAGGGTGTTTTAGGGTTTGGGGGCTTTAAGGCTTTGGGGTTCTAGCGTTCAAGGCTCACAAAAGTGATTGCCTGCGCCTTTCCTTCGAGCGAACATCAGTTCCAGTAGCTGCGTCACCACATCTAGCAGTGTGCGCGGCATCCGGATGTGCCAGTCTGCGGGATCTGAATCCTCTGGTAGATCCTCCAGGCCAGCAGCATGAAGTATTTCCCAAACAAGCATGATCTTCGAACCTGTCGATTTGAACTTCGTGAGCACACAGTGGTGTTCTCGTTACCAGCAGGAATGTTTTCCTCCGCTAATTTCATTGGGTTGGGGATCCCTGTTTATACCAGGCTACACTCGCCTACACGGCGCTAGAGCTTAGGGTTTACGGAGTCGAGGTTTAGTGATCCTTCCCCTAAACCCTAAACCCCAAACCCTAAACCCTAAACCCTAAAACCCTAAACCCTAAACCCTAAACCCTAAACCCTAAGCCCTAAGCCCTGAACCCTGAACCCTGAACCTTTAGCTCGCATTATGGGGAAACTTGGGGGGAGCCAGCAGGCTGAGCCCGGGGGGCTGAGCTACGCTATTCAGGACCTACCCGAAATGCTGAAAGACGATTTAAACATAATACGGGCACCCTTTTTGGGTTTAGGGTTTAGGGTTTAGGGTTCAGGGTTCAGGGTTCAGGGTTACTTTACAAGGGAACCGATGACCAAAAAAATTGTAAAGCCACTGGGCTACCAAGCACTTAAGCATGCTGAAACACCAAATAAATCCTATGCACCCTGAATCCCTGATTCAGAACAATTAGGGCTCAGGGTTTAGGGTTTAGGATTTAGGGTTTAGGGTTTAGGGTTTAGGGTTTAGGCCCCACCCCCACATGAAGGAGCCTAAAGGATTTTGAAGCCAAGGCGGTGCCCTTTTCGGGCTGGGGATGCTTGGCCTGGGTCTAGGGTTTAGGGTTTAAGGTTTAGGGTTTAGGCTTTAGGGTTTGGGTTTAGGGTGTAGGGTGTAGGGTTTAGGGTCCTTAGGGCCCCAAGTCCCCAAACAAGCGAGCAGAAACCAAAGCCCGATCTTGCTCCACAGCACGACTCCATTTACCCCGTAGTCAGCAACGCCCTTACGAACACATGCCTAAGCTACTATTTGCTGGGTTCAGGGGGTTTAGGGTTTGAGGGTTTAGGGTTTGAAGGTTGAGGGTTTAGGAGAGTAATCCCCATTATTGCCCCGAGAAGGAAGAAAATATGGATCTTTTGGGCTGGTTCTTAAGCAAATAGTAAGTAGTAGTAAACTTCACCGCACAGCTCGACTGAAAAGCCCGAACTTTAGGGTTTAGGGTTTTGGGTTTAGGGTTTAGGGCTTAGGGTTTAGGGCAACCCAGAGGGTACGGGTGGGGTACCTAGTATTGATACAGGCTCTGGTTCTCAGGGTACCTAACAGTATGGACCCTAAGCATTAAACCCTAAACCCTAGACCCTAAACCCTTAACCCTAAACCCTTAACCCTAAACCCTTAACCCTAAACCCTAAACCTGAACCCTGAACCCTGAACCCTGAACCCTGAACCCTGAACCCTGAACCCTGAACCCTGAACCCTGAACCCTGAACCCTGAACCCTGAACCCAACCCCTCAACGCTAAACCCTAGCCCCCACATCTTCCCGTTCCCTGACAAGGGGCCGCAGCACTGATGAAGGGCCCATACTGGCCGCTCTCGCTGCACTTGTCCTGGCTCTTTGAGCTTCGATCCCAGGGTTTAGGGTTTGGGGTTTGGGGTTTAGGGTTTGGGGTTTGGGGTTTGGCGTTTGGGGTTTCGGGTTTGGGGTTGGGGGTTGGGGGTTTGGGGTTTAAGGTTTGGGATTTGGGGTTTGGGGTTTGGGGCTTGGGGTTACAGGTTTAGGGTATAGGGTCTGGGGTTTAGGGTTTAGAATTAAGGGTTACTTGGGGGCGAGGGCCTAGAATTTTCTGAGTCTGAGGCTTGCAGGGGCCAAGTTGAGAACTTGATCAGACTTCTATGGTTGCTGTTTCTTGCTGCTTTGAGAGCGGGGGCTTTGGGGGGGTGCATTCTACGGTTTAAGGAGTTAGTCCTGCTCACCTAGGATACGATGGGGTACCCTGTTGCTTCAGGAGGGATGAGGGTTGAGGGTTTAGGGTTTAGGGTTTCAGGAGGGATGCGGGTTTCGTGTTCCAAGAGGGGCATGAGGGTACTATTGGGCGTCTGCAAAGGAACGAAAGCCCTAAACCCTAAAGCCCTAAACCCTAAACCCTAAACCCCAAACCTTTCACATTTCACACTGTCCCGCATGGTGAGGATGTAGGACTCCAAGTCGTTTCGCTTCTCATCGGTCTCGATGATCTCCTTCGTGGTCAATGTCCCTAAACTCTAAAGCCTAAACCCCGAATTCGGTCAGGGTTTAGGGCTGAGGGTTTAAGGGGTTTAGGGTTTAGGGTTTGGGGTTTAGGGTTTAGGGTTTAGGGTTTAGGATTTAGGCCGGTTTAGGGTTTAGAGGGTAGGGTTGAGGGCTTTTTAGGGTTTAGGGCACCTGCACACTAGCGACATCCCTAAAGCGGCCCCCCGGAGGGGGTGGTGTTGGCAATCCTGAGGCCGTCTAGGGTTTAGGTTCTGAGGTTCACGGCCAACAGGCTCCCCGGAATGCCACAGCCGGGTTTAAGGTTTGGGGTTTGGGGTTTATAAGGGTTTGGGGTTTATGGTTTTGGGTTTGGGGACGCAGGGTTGTGGAGTTTAGGGTCGGGGGTTTCGGGTTTCGGCCGCCTTCATGTCCGCTTGCATCGCAGTCTCCTCATCCTGCCCAGGCCAGCAGCGACAAAGTTGCCCTAAACCCTAAACCCTAAACCCTAAACCCCAAACCCTAGGCCGAAACCGAAGACCGGAGGGTTTAGGCTTGGGTATCCTCAACTTGTCCTCAACCCCCCCCCCCCCCCCCCCAAACTTATTTAATGAGCTTAAGGCTTTGTGGTTCAGCTGTCATGAAAATACCCCCCCCCCCCCCACAAGCCCTAAAACCTAAAATCATACAAGCCCTGGCCCTAAACCCTGAAACCCACAGGCCCTAAACCTTATACCCTAAACCCTGCAAGACCCTACAAGGCCTAAACCCTAATCCCACAAGCCCTAAGCACTAAGCCCTAAAGCCCGGGTTTGGTGTTTATTAGGGCATCCTGAAGCGGCTGAGGAGCACAGAGGAGGAGGAGGAGGAGCAGGTGGAGGAGGAGGAGGAGGAGTCGGCAGGAGGAGGAGGAGGAGGAGGAGTGACTGATTAAGGATCCCTGTGCAGCATCCCTCTTTAAAAGGCCGATATGCCTCCTGCTTCTGGATGGTGTTGGATGGCAGGCCAGGAACGTCTGTCGCCTCACAGCCGACGTAGGGGTGAGCGTCAGGAAGTTAACCCCCGGCCCTTCTAGCAACCCCCGCCATCCCCCGCCCACCCCCCCCCCCCCAAAAAAAAAAAATGCGACATATTCTGTTATCCGGAAAGTTGGCAAAGTGAATCTTCAATTCCATGGTTTCCCTGAACCCTGAACCCTACTAAGCCCCACAACCCCATGCCCTAAATCCTAAACTTAGGCCCTAAACCCCACACACAGGCGGAGGAAATGGCCGAAAGCCACAAACCTCTAGAAGACTCTTGACCTCAGGCTCGCAGGCTTTGAGCTAAGGTTGAACAGTCGGGTTAAAGGTTTAGGGTTTAGGGTTTAGGGTTTAGGGCTTGGGGCTTGGGGCTTGGGTTAGAGTTGAGTAGCCCTAAACCCCAAACCCCAAATGAATCCAGACTTGCAATGCGAATGCCAAGCTCTGGACCACGATGGGGATGTCGGTGCGCTTGGTGCGCTTCTTCCTGAGGGCTGAGGGTCTGGGGTTCAAGGGTTTCGGGTTTAGGGCTAGAGTTCAGGGTTAAGGTTTAAGCGTTTAGGGTTAGGGCTATAGTTGAGGGTTAAGGCTTTTGGAAGTGGAGGAAGTGGGAATGGGGGCCTTGCGGAGGTGTGGGGACCCATGATAGCCCGAAAACCTTAAACCCGGCTTGTTAGATTCGAGAAAACATCATCATGAAGGCGATAGGTTTAGGATTTAGGGTTTAGGCCCGTAGGGTTAGAGGTTTGCGGGCCAAGTCGAGGTCAGATGGACTGGCTCGACATCAGGGATGCGGGCACTCGGAAATCACCTCATATGGGGGCTATTCTTTGGGGTCTATATTCGGGGCCGCACCATCGTAACGCCCCATATACCAAGAAATACCCCCTTAAAGGGGTTAAACTCTAAACCCTAAAGCCCTATTTCCCTCATTCCGTGCAAAGAACCAGTACTGAAGGGCGTTGGGAGTTCGCTAGGGTTAACCTGAGGTGGGCTAGCTTAGGGCTTAGGGTCTATAGGGTTTAGGGTTTAGGGTCTATTTAGGGTTTAGGGTTTAGGGTTTAGGGTTTAGATCCCAACACCTCGGGGGTCAGCTTCAGCAAAATCGAATTTGCCCAGGTGAGCAAGTATCACCACAGCGGAGCCGGTCAAGTCTCTTCCTAGCCCCACTTTCCAACAGTGGAAGGCATCAAGACGGTAAAGAGCGGATGTGCACATAGGATCGTAAGGAATGATTGTAAGCGGTGGGGAAAAGCCATCCTTCCAAGATTGCACAAAGTGCAGTGTTGACTCCCATGTGGGAGAATCTGCGAGCTCTTCGAACGGCACCCCTGTGACCCCGGCAGAGCACAAATGACAAATCGAAGCATCGGTTTTGGGTCCAAGGTCATAGTAGGACTGGCTAAGGAACCCGATTTGATGGTGAAATTTGAGAGCCCCTTTCAGCCCCAAGAAGCCGGCAAAGAACAAAAACCTTGTTACGGTTTTTGGAGGTACCCTCGACCAGAACCTGCCGTGGAGCGAGGGCCTGTGGAAAGTTAAAGGTATGGGGTTCAGGGTTTGGGGTTTAGGGTTTAGGGGCAATACCTGCTTGGGCACAAAAGAGCCCCAATCCTCATACAGTGGCCTCTGGGGCCAAGAATCCTCACAGAAGAGGGCTCGTAAAGACTAGGGTTAGGTAGAGCCTTCAAGCAGCTGAAGCGCTGCCAAGACCCTGAACTGTAAGCCCTAAATCCTAAGCCCTGAGCCCGAAACCCTAAACCCTAAACCCTAAACCCTAAACCCTAAACCCTAAACCCTAAACCCTAGACCCTAGACCCTAGACCCTAGACCCTAGACCCTAGACCCTAGACCCTAGACCCTAGACCCTAGACCCTAACCCTAAACCCTAAACCCTAAACCCTAAACCCTAAACCCTAAACCCTAAATCCGAAACCCTAACCCCCTTAAACCCGCAGCAACTTGCGGCCCAGCAGCTTCTTCACGACTTCCACCCACTCGTACTGAGGCCAAGGGTGGGGGGGACCCCGAGCTCAAAAATCCCCCCAAAACTTCACCAGGACCCTGGTTTGCTTTAGGTCCACGGGGGGGTAGGTACCTCGGGTACCTTATGGCGAACCTTATAGGGAATCTTCTAGGGAACCTTATAGGGTTTAAACCCTAACCCCTCAACCCTCAACCTGAACCCTTGTTTGTTTTAGGTTCATGGGCGGTAGGTACCTCGGGTACCTTATAGGGAACCTTTTTGGAGACCTTCTTTCTTTTGGGAGGGGGATTCTTTATGGGGCTCTTAAGGGAGGGGGGGTTGATGGGGGGTGGGTACCTAGAAAACCGTATAGGGAACCGTCTAGGGAACTCATAGGGATTCTTATAGGGAACTGGGAAGTATTAGGGAACCATGGGTTAGATACCCCCCGTGAACCCCCTTCTTTCAAGACTCTACAAGTTTTGGGTTTAGGGTATTGGACATGAGTCCTAGACTGAAAGAAACAAAACCTACACAACAAAGCCGCAGCCCGATTAGGATTAGGGTTTAGGGTTTAGGATTAGGGTTTAGGGTTTAGGGTGAGGGTTTAGGGTTTAGGGTTTAGGGTTTAGGGTTTAGGGTTTAGGGTTCAGGGTTCAGGGTTTAGGGTTAAACCCAGATAGCGTCATGCCTTAGGGCAAGGAGGAAGCAAGTCGCAAAGTCAGAAGTGGGCGAACGCGAAGGTGGCTCCCAGGAGGTCCGTACTTGATCGGGTTTAGGGTTTAGGGTTTAGGGTTTAGTGAGTGAGTGAGTGAGTGAGTATCGACCTGCACTTACGGTGCGGCCTACCTCCCACGTCCCTCTCAACATCGCAGGGAGGCTCCGCAAGCGTCATCGCCCCCCTCCGTCACAGAGTTCAAGTGGGGGAAAGAACTAGCTAGTGCGGACAGGTCACTAGTGTGGAAAGCTGGGATACGTATATAAAACGCGAAGAAACTGAGACACAAAGCCCCTTGACCTAGTCTGCAAGTCGTCAAAGTACTCCGAAGAATGTCATCATCTAGACTGTGTCGGAAGCGTCTCTGCGTTGACCTCACTGCTAACAGTCATGTTGTCATCCTCGAGGCTTCGCTAAAGCTGCAAACCACCACAAATGTGTTCGCAGTAACCATGAAGCAAGCTGACGTGTTGGAAAACCGGCCCGATATGCTGCCATTTGATTCGAAAAGCAAGTTGCGCCGATAAAGCAAACCCCCCCCCAAAAAAAAAACGCAGCATGAGAACCGAGAGCCCTCTCAATGTCAGTGAGCTACTAGTGCATCGTCGAGTCTCGCACGTGCTGGCACTTCAACAATGTTCCTGGAGAGACAGCTCCGGAACTTGGCGTAGTGACCTATGCATCAATTGGACTGCTTTTGCCGCTTGGTGACGCTGGTCTGCAGATGAGCCCTTGCTAGTCCCACGCGAATGCGTGGAGTGTGATGCAAGGTGTGCCATTTACAACGGTGAGGTGAGCCTTTCCTTCCCGACACAAGGCTTGCACACTGCGCTGGACAAGCTCATGTATGAGGGGCATGGCTTCGGGCTCATCCATTGCTGCCACACACCGGGAGAGCAACAGATTTAGGGGCACACCAAGTTGCCGGCTTCTTGCGCGTAGATGGCGCAGAACCCACCTACGGACACGACGTAGCGTAAGGGAAGACCCCGAGCGTGCATTGCGCAACCCTGCACCACTCAAACATTCCTCAGCCAATCCAGCCATGTGTTGGGCCAAATCCGAGGCGACAGTGGAGCGACGCCTGCGCGGGCAGTCCAGCCAGGCCTGCAGCCAGTCCCACACGCAGTCCGGGCACAGTGCATGTTGCTCATCAGGCCCAGGCAGAAAATGAACGCTCGCCCCCTGATTCCAAGCACGACATTGACCCCGTTTGTGCAACTTACGTCCGCAACCACTACATGCCAGGTCGCCACAATCCCGATTACACCATCTGCATGGACTTAGGGGACCAGGATTTAGGGTAGCGCCCCCGCCCCCCGCACTGCCAACAGCAGCTGACAGGCGCGGGCAGCGCATTCCTAACGCAAGTGCAAGTCACTTGAAAGGCCGCTTTAACGGTGTTCCACTCCGGAAATTCACCCCCCCCAGGACGGAATACTGCGCGACATGATGGGAACCCCGCTTGCCTGCACAGCCGCAACAATAGCTTCACCACCTAGTCGCAAACCAGGATTAACTGCCCTTACGCGGTAAAGCACAATTTCCTTCGTGGGCAAAAGCCACCGAAGTTCGGTGAGCAGACCTACGGCGCTCGGAGACCGCAGCCATGCTTGCAGGCCATGGGCAGGCTGAGGAGCACCTGGAACAACAGGCACTAGCCGAGGAACAACTGCCGGCTGCAGGTGGTCCAAAAGAGTTCGTGCCAGGGCAATCCAAGCATCCAATCGCTGCTGGAACTCTGATCGGACAACCGCAGCCCAAGTAACAACAAACTGCAGACCAGGAACGCGGGCTGGATACGGGAGGCGCGGGAGCTTGAGGCAGCGGCTTCAGCCGAGGCTTGACCGGGCTGCCGGAGCGTGGCAAAAGGGTCACCCGGAAGGAGGTGACTCAGATCCGCTTCGTGATGCAGGCTACACAATGCTTTCCCCAACGCCAAAGGGAGAACCCCACGGTAGGCAAGATCATGACCTCTGGCGCTGTGGCTGTTGTCCCGCGAGCTGCCCCTGGGCTCTTCGGAAAGGAAAGCCTCCCGCTCAGGGAAATCGACCAGCCATCTCCAAGCACTAAGAACCGGCCACCTGGAAGAGTGACGAGGCGAAGGTGCTCCAGGTAGCAAGTTGGCGTTCTGAGAGCGCCATTCAGACGCGGCTGCAATAAGGAAGTCCGAAGGTTTAAGGTCAGTCAGTGCAGCTTCTACAGCATCCCGTAGAGGTTTAGGGTTTAGGGTTTAGGGTTTAGGGTTTAGGGTTTAGGGTTTAGGGTTAGGGTTTAGGGTGTAGGGTTCCTCCTCAACACTTGACGGCGATGATGCTAGCACCATGCGCTTCTTGCCTGGGAAACTCGGTGGCGGTTCTTGCATCCCCGCACTCGCAGCGGTGGCGGGGTGCTTGTCAACCGGTGTCAACCGAAACGTCGTCTATCCACGGGTCAACGTGGGCCGTGCTCGGCTTACGTCAGACTTTCTGCACTGGGTTGCGAAGGATGACCCGGCTCAGCGCAGGTGCCATTGGACACCCAGAAATCAGTCCCCGGGTTGCCTCAATCGGCTGACAATCCCCGATTGGCCTCCCTAAACCCTAAACCCTAAACCCTAAACCCTAAACCCTAAACCCTTCGATGCAGCGCGGTCCCTCGTACAGAGCGAGGGCCCGTGCTAACATAACTGGCGGGAAGCCACGCTGGGTCCCTTAAGCCAACAACTGCCAGCGTGACATTGAAGAGCAAGCCTCCCTAAACCCTAAACCCTAAACCCTAAACCCTAAACCCTAAACCCTAAACCCTAAACCCCAAACCCAAAGCATCCCTAAGGCCCGAAAACCTAGGGATCCTTAGGGTGTAGGGCTTAGGGTTTAAGGTTGGTTTAGGGCGGGTTTAGGGTTCAGGATTTGGGTTTAGGGTTTAGGGTGAGTTTAGGGTTTAGGCTTAGGGTTTAGGGCTTAGGGTGGGTTTAGGGTTTAGGGTTCAGGGTTCAGGGTTCAGGGTTTAGGGTTTGGGGCTTAGAGTTTAGGGTGGGTTTAGGGTTTAGGGTCAGGTGGTCCCCGCCTTCTTCTCGGGCTCCTTCTTGGGGGAGGGCGCCTTGGTCTCGCCCTCCGCAGCGGCCTCATAGCCCGCCTAAAGTGAGGACTCAAAGAGCTTGAGAACACATTGCAGGGTTTAGGGATAGGGTTTTAGGGGTTTTAGGGTTTTAAGGGTTTAAGGGTTTTAGGGTTTAAGGGTTTAAGGGTTTGGGGTTTAGGGTTTGGGGTTTGGGGTTTGGGGGCTTTGAGGTCCAGGGTTTGGGGTTTTGCTCTGAGGTGCAGGGTTCAGGGAATTGAGGTTCAGGGTACTAAGCCCCCCCCCCCCCCCAACGGAAGAACTCAGAGCGTTGGGCTTAATCAAGTTAAAACAGTAAGGGCAGACTCGACGATTCTAAGGCTGCACTTGCAGGCCCTACACCGGACACCTCTAAGCCGCTACTGCCTTCAAAAGAAGCCCTGAACCCTGAAGCCCCTAAGCCAGCCCTAAAGCCTCAACCTCTAAGATCCTAAACCCTAGCGACTAAACCGACCCACAGACCCCCAAGACCCAAAGACCCTGTGACCCGAAGACCCTATTCCCCTAAACCCCAAAGACCCGCAAACCCTCAACCCCCCTGACGACCCAAAGACCCCTCGAAGACCCTCAGACCCTAAGACCCTAAGACCCAAAGACCCAAAGACCCTGTGACCCTGACCCGAAAACCCTAAGCCCTAAAACCTGAACCCTGCAGACCCTAAACCCTAAACCCTAAACCCTAAACCCTAAAGCTCCTCGCCTCGCCCTCCTTGGGCGACTCTGGCTTCTCGCCTTCGGGAGGCGGCGGCGAGGCCTTCGCGTGGCTTCGTTTCAAGTGAGGCTTTCGCGGGGCTCTAGAGGGGCTCTAGAGGGGCTCTAGAGGGGTTTAGGGGTTTAGGGTTTAGGGTTTAGGGGTTTAGGGTTTAGGGTTTAGGGTTTAGGGCTTAGGGTTTAGGGTTTAGGGTTTAGGGTTTTATAGGGGCGTTAAAGGAGCTTGAGGCTTGAGGGGCATTTAAGGGTTTTAGGGGGCTCTAGGGGCTTTAGGGAAGCATTGAGGCCTCAGGAGCTTTAGGGTTTAGGGTCTAGGGTTTAGGGTTTAGGGTTTAGGGTTCAGGGTTCAGGGTTTAGGATCTTAAACCCTAATGATCCTTGATCCTAAGCCCTAAAGCCAAGAACTCATGAAGCCTTAAGAACAACTTCGGGTTTAGGGCTTAGATGGGCTTTGGGCTTCTAGTATGTAAGGCTTAGGGTCTAGGGCTTAGGGTTTCTAAGGTTTAGGCGATTTAGGGTTAGGTTGGACAATTGCATCACGAGACAGCCTTGGCCAAGCAATGGAAGACTCTCCGCTCCTAGACCCTGAAGGGTTTAGGGTTTAGGGTTTAGGGTTTAGGGTTTAGGGTTTAGGGTTTAGGGTTTAGGGTTTAGGGTTTAGGGTTTAGGGTTTAGCGTTGAGGGTTTTCTTAGCTGCACAGTATGCTAGGCGAACTGAAGGATTATACCCCCAAAAAAGGGTGAGAGGCTGCCTACTCTACAACGTGGTTGTTCGCGATAGCCGTAAGACAACATGAGACTTCCTACAACACCAAACGGCGACTGACCACTTCCAAGAGCGGCCAACCCTAAACCCTAAACCCTAAACCCTAAACGCCAAAACCCCGAACCAATAAACCCTAAACCCTAGACCCTTGCCGCATCTGCTGCTTCTTCTTGAGGCCTCCATCAGGCGCAGGCCCCGCGCTGCGGCCCACGAGGGAGGGGGGGGGGGGGGGGGGGGGGGGACTACCTGTCAAGCCTGATGCCCAACAAGCCTGTACCTGTAGGGTTTAGGGTTTAGGGTTTAGGGGCTAGGGGTTTAGGGGTTTAGGGTTTAGGGTTTGGGGTTTAGGGTCTAAGGTTTAGGGATCCCTTGCATCACGAGCGAGCCTCGCCCTCGGCCGGCTTGGCCTCCTCCTCGGCTGGGACCTGGGAGTTTCCGAAATTAGGGGGTGTCTGGGGTTTAGGGTTTGTAGGGTTTAGAGTATAGGGTTTAGGGTTTAGGGTTTTAGGGTTTATAGGGTTTAGAGTATAGGGTTTAGAGTATAGGGTTTAGGTTTAGGGTTTAGAGTACAGGGTTTACGGTTTAGAGGGTTTAGAGTGTAGGGTTTAGGGTCTAGCTGCCCGGGGTACCCTTTTTGGGGTCTTCATTATCAGGGATTCCTAGCTCCAACATCCACTGGGTCTTCCGAACCACTTAAAAATCCAAAACCCTCAGACCCCGCAACCGGGGTCTAGGGCTTAGGGTTTAGGGTTCAGGAGTTTAGGGCTTGGGGTTTAGGGTTTGGGGCTTATGGTTTCGGTTTTTAGGGTTAGGGGTTTCGGGTTTAGAGTGTATGGACCCTAAGACACGAAAAACACTGAGGGTTGAAGGACAGGCTTGTGCTTCAGACCCAAACACAACCAAGGGTCTTCAAGCACCCTGGGGCCGTACTATTCCCAAACCCAAATCCCAAACCAGATGCAGCTTAGGGTTTAGGGTTGAGGGTTCCGGGTTTAGGGTTTTGGGTTTAAGGTTGAGGGTTTAGGGTTGAGGGTTGAGGCTCAAGGGTTCAATGCTACTGGGCCTGCCCGGATTTAGAACTTAGTAGGGTTAAGGGGCTTGGTAGGGGCTTAGTAGGGCTCAGTAAGACTCAGTAGGGTTTAGAAGGGTTTTGTGCGGTTAGCAGGGTTTAGGAGGGCTTAGTAGGGTTTAAGGTTTGGGCGGGCCCCTTGAAGGAACCGTAGCTTCTTATTTCCTGAAATGCCCACGGAGAACCTGTAGAAAGAACTCTGCGGAGTTCCTATAAATCATAAACCTGGCCTAAACCCTAGACTCCACACGGCGCAGTCATGAAGATGGGCCCGATGCAAGCGTGCTTGGCTTTAGGGATCAAAGTTTCAGGTTGCCGCGCCCTTATCTCTGTAGATCAGGAATGCACACCGCTAGAAGGAGAATGTGTGTGTGTGTGCTTGGTCTGCAGTAGGCCCAAGGGGCGGCTTGGCTCCAGAAGGAGAAACCATGAGCACCATAGCTCTTCATATAAAAACCCAACCCTAAACCCTAAACCCTACATGCCTAAACCCTCAACCCTAAACCCCAAACCCTAAACCCTAAACCCTAAACCCTAAACCCCAACACATGCCCCTGCAAAACCCCAGACGTGACAATCTTGCCTCGATCTCTTTCTTCTCCTTCACCTTCTCCTTGCGAGAGGCAAGCATAGGGTTTGGGGCTCGGAGGTCTAGGGTGGGTTTAGGGTTTAGGGTTTAGGGCTTAGGGTTTAGGGTTTAGGGTTTAGGGTTTAGGGTTTAGGGTTTAGGGTTTAGGGTTTAGGGTTTAGGGTTTAGGGTTTAGGGTTTAGGGTTTAGGGTTTAGGGTTTAGGCGTTTAGGGTTAGGGTTTAGGGTTTAGGGTTTAGGGTTTAGGGGGGGGGGGGCTTTTTGGGAAGGGTAGAGGCTCCGAGTCTCCCTTGGCATGGTCTTCACCCTATGGGATCAAGGGTTGCCTTGCCCTAACCCTAAACCCTAAACCCTAAACCCTAACCCTAAACCCTAAACCCTAAACCCTAAACCCTAAACCCTAAACCCTAAACCCTACACCGGTTATGCAAGAGTTAGGGTTTGGGGCACAGTGTTTAGGGTTTGGGTGCGTACTCCAGTCCCAGGAACCTAGGAATAAATCGGGTGCCCTTTTTGCTTAAAGTCTTCGAGCCGCACCCTGAAAAGAAGAAGGGTAATGTTGAGGGTAGTTTAGGGTTCAGGGATTGGGGGTATCACTGGCTTCCCAGAAACCCGGAGAACTTGAACCCTAAACCCTGAACCCTAAACCCTCAACCCTCGCTGGTCCTCGTACTCCTCTTCTTCAAGCATCTGCGCGCTCTCGATGCCGAAGGTGCCTGCGGCAGGACAGCGCAGCGGTAGCTTCACTGTCTACGACATCATCGGGTTTCGGGATCCATACAAGTAGGGTTAGGGTTTGGGATGTATATAGGGTTTCAACGGTTTCAAGGGTTTAGGATTTAGGGCTTGGGGTTTTTTGCGGTCCGGGGTTTGGGGTCTAGGGCCTTAGGATTCAGGGTTTCAGCTCGTGCAGCACATAGGGTCTTACCCGGCAAGTTGGTACCAAGCACTTCCCTGATTCAAGCGCACATCGGCTAAGAGCCTGAAAACAGGCACCCTGGGAAACCCTTAGTTCAGCTGAGACCCTAAACCCTACCCTAAACCCTGAACCGTACTTGGCTGCACTCAAAAGGGTAGCTGTAAATTGAATTTTTAGCTGCCATATGAAAAAACCCAATAAACCCAAAAAGGCTAAGGATCTAGAGTTACAGTAAAGCACTACAAAGCGTAGACCCGAATCCCGAAACCCGAGACACCATGAACTGCTCAATGCCAAGCTGCCATTCAGCGTCAGCTTCGCCTGCGGAATGCGCAATCGAAGGTTTAGGGTTTAGGGTTTAGGGTTTAGGGTTTAGGGTTTAGGGTTTAGGGTTTAGGGTTTAGGGTTTAGGGTTTAGGGTTTAGGGTTTAGGGTTTAGGGTTTAGGGTCGCCAGGGACAAGGGTTGAGTGCTTGAGGGCTTAAGGGCCGAAACTCTGAGAGCACGGTTTTGAGCTTCAACTCGTAGCGCTTGCAGCGTTCCGCTGTGGGTGACAGGCAGCCCAAAAAGCCCCTGGATGTTAGGGTTAGGGTTTAGGGTTTAGGGTGTAGGGTGTAGGGTTTAGGGTTTAGGGTTTAGGGAAGACCTGTAAAACCCTCTAAGCCTTACATAAGCCCTGAACCCAAACTCCCCTGAACCCAAACGACCCTAAACCCCAAAGCTTGAACCCTTCGACCTTAGGGCTTAGACGCCCGGTAAGGCCGACTTAGGTTCAGGGCTTGACCCTAAATCCCTAAACCCCAAATGCCTAAACCCTAAACCCTAAACCCTAAACCCTAAACCCTAAACCCTAACCCTAAACCCTAAACCCTAAACCCTAAACCCTAAACCCTAAACCCTAAACCCTAAACCCTAAACCCTAAACCCTAAACCCTAAACCCTAAACCCCCTTCTGCCAGGTTGGGGATGTTGGGGACTCCAGCCAGCCTTGACCTTGATCTTCTTCGTCTCGCCGGCCGGAGGCAGATCGATCTGGAGCGCGGGGCTGCTTGGAACGTTACTGGCTTCTTTCAAGAACCCGGGAGGAAGAGAGGGTGTAGGGTTTAGGGTTTAGGGTTTAGGGTTTAGGGTTTAGGGTTTAGGGTTTAGGGTTTAGGGTTTAGGGTTTAGGGTTTGGCGCTTATTCTCCGAACTTAAGATGGACCCTCAGCCCTCCCTCCCCGTTCCAAGCTCTCAACCCGTTTACCAGCAACAAGTTGGGGGGTCTAGGTTTAGGTGAACCCCAAACCCCAAACCCCAAACCCCAAACCCCAAACCCCAAACCCCAAACCCTGGACCCTAACCCTAAACCCTAAACCCTAAACCCTAAACCCTAAACCCTAAACCCTAAACCCTAAACCCTAAACCCTAAACCCTAAACCCTAAACCCTAAACCCTAAACCCTAAACCCTAAACCCTAAACCCTAAACCCTAAACCCTAAACCCTAACCAAGAAAAGCCCAAATTGCTTTCCGTGCCCCTTCACAGGCGTAGCCCACTGTCGGGGGCCCACCAAAGAGTTTAGAAGGGAAGGCGTGATAACGGGAGGCTAACCTTGGCTGCACTCAAAAGGGTAGCGATAAATTAAATTCTCAGCTGCCATATTAAGAAACCCAATAAACCCAAAAAGGCTAAGGATCTAGAGTTCCAGTAAAGCACTACAAAGTAACCTGCAGCCGGGCCACCTCCCCCCAAAACAGGGTAGTTGGGAAAAGGGGATGGGGGCTTCTCCTGAACCATAGACCCTAAAGACCCCCTGAACCCAAACTATTATAAACTCTAAACCCTACACCCTGCGCCCCAAACCCTGAACCCTGAACCCTGAACCCTGAACCCTGAACCCTGAACCCTGAACCCTGAACCCTGAACCCTGAACCCTAAACCCTAAACCCTACGCCGGCCTTGAAGTTCCCAAGGAGCTTTCCGGCGCCGGGCACGAGCCTTGTTTTCCACTTTGGGGGTTTATGGGGTTTAGGGTTTAGGGTTTGTGGTCCGGGGTTTGGGGTTTTGGGTGCTTCGGGTTTGGGAGGTTTGGGGTTTAGGGGCGTTAGGTGTTCAGGGTTCATGGTGTTTACATAGGCTTGTTGGAGCTTAAGGTTTAGGGTTTCGGGGTCTGGGGGGGGGTTTAGGGTTGGGGTGTAAGGACTATAGTTTGACAGTTAGGGTTTTAAGGTTCAGGCGGGGCACGAGCCCTTCCTGCCCTCTGCAAGGGAAACTGCGCCGAGGCACGCGGAGGTGTCCTCGTACTCCAACTTGAGGTCGAAGGGGCCTTTGCGGTAGAATGTGAGCAGCTTCACCTGGGCTGCAGAACCTCAACCCTAAACGGCCCTAAACCCTAATTAAACCCTAAACCCTAAACCCTAGACCCTAGACCCTAAACCCTAAACCCTAAACCCTAGACCCTAAACCCTAAACCCTGAACCCGAAACCCTAGGGGGCTCCAAGGGCTCCTCAGGGTGATGCCAAGTCACCCCCCCTACCCCCCCCTACCCCCCCCTAACCCCCCCCTACCCCCCCCCCACCCCCCCCCCTACCCCCCCTACCCCCCCCTACCCCCCCCCCTACCCCCCTACCCCCCCCCCCCCCACCCCACCAGCCCCCTAAATTCCTCAACCTTATGGAGGACTCATAGGCCATTTGAGGCGACCCTGGTCCCAAAAACCCGAAATCTCGAGTTTGGGGTTTGGGGCTTGGGGCTTGGGGTTTAGGGCTTGGGGCTTCAAGCCTGCCACCGAAACCCGAAACTCCGAATCCTTAAACTACAACTTGCAAAAAGAAGCCCCGAACAAAAAACGATATCCATCCTTGTGTTGCCCTGATAAGGCTGAGTGTATTGCTATAGCTTTTTAGTGGGTGCTTAGGCAAAGAAGAGTAAAAACCCTCGACACTAAGCCCTGCCCTACCCTAAAGCCCTCGTAAAGAGCCCTCTAAGCCCTAAACCCTAAACCCCCATAAGCCCTATCCTAATTATCCTAAACCTAGGCTGCGTTGCACACGTTTGAGGGGTTCATGTGGGTTTGTTGTAAGTTCAGGTTTAGGGCCTTTGAGGGCGCTTACAAGGCGCTCTGAAGTTTGGTACTTTCGAGGCTTAGGGCCTTCGAGGGTTCGTGGGGTGTTGCCCTGTGAGATCTTGCACAACTCTACCGCGAGCATCTTGCAGCTAGGGCTTCGGAGCGCCCCCTGGTTTAGGGTTTAGGGTTTAGGGTTTAGGGTTTAGAGTTTAGGGTTTACCCTCAATGGGCCAAGGGGCGGTGTTCATGAGGCTGTTGCGTGGAAAGACCGTCATGGTCTTGTACTCTCCCTGCGGGCCGAATGCAAGGCTGTGTGCCCCTAAACCCTAAACCCTAAACCCTAAACCCGAAACCCTAAACCATAACCCCCGAAACCCCGAAACCCTAAACCCTAAACAGGGCTCGGGCAGCAGAGGGTGGCTTTCGTGGCTCCGGTGCTCTTAGTAGCCCAGTAACCATATTATAATAAGGGCACTTTTTTAAGTTGGTCACTTTATAAGGGAAACCCTAAACCCTAAACCCTAAACCCTAAACCCTAAACCCTAAACCCTAAACCCTAAACCCTAAACCCTAAACCCTAAACCCTAAACCCTAAACCCTAAACCCTAAACCCTAAACCCTAAACCCTAAACCCTAGCCAAAAAAAGGCAAAGGGCACCACTGGGCTACCCAGTGCTCTTTGCCACGCTGTGTGGGCATCTTTGGCTGTCCAAGCCTTGCTCCCTAAACCCTGGAACCTTAGGGTTTAGGGTTTAGGGTTTGGGGTTTAGGGTTTAGGGCTTAGGGTTTAGGGTTCACGCAAACCTTGGGATGTTCCCCCTTCTTCTAACAATCCATAATAGGGATTATAGTACCCCCATTATCATCCCTATATTAAGGACTGTTTGTATAAGGAGGAACATCCCAATTCGAACCCGAAACGCAAAACCTGGAGGTCGTACAGCCGCTGGTCAAGCACCTCTAAACCCCTGATGTGTGCTCTGAAGCTCGGCAATAGTGCCTGCAGCCACTAAGTCTAGGGTTTGCGCCAACCACAAAAAACAGTGACCTCAATCGCATGTGCGCACTGAAGCTCAAAATACGACGATCTCAATACAGGGTGTCCCTAACTTACGGAGGCCCCCCCCCCCCCCCCCCCCCACCCCGTACCCTAAAGCTGAAAAATCCTGAAGCCCTGCACCCCCCGAACCTACGAAAGTGAAAGAAGCCTAAAGCCTAAGCAACCCTGACACTCAAACAAAGACCCTAAGCCCTAAACCCTGACCTCCAAAAAAACCAAGAAGAAACGTGCAAGAAGCCTACAGCCTAAGCAACCCTCTTTACTCAAAAACTCCCTCAGCCCTTACCCTAAACCCTAAACCCTAAACCCCAAACCCTAAACCCTAAACCCCCAAAACCAAGGCCTCCGCTCCGGCCATGTGCTCTCCCTCCTCGTCTCCCTGGCTTTGAGGTGGCGCAGCAGCTTTCCGCTTTTAGAGTTCGGGGGTTTAGGGTTTAGGGTTTAGGGTTTAGGGTTTAGGGTTTAGGGTTTAGGGTTTAGGGTTTAGGGTTTAGGGTTTAGGGTTTAGGGTTTAGGGTTTAGGGTTTAGGGTTTAGGGTAGGATTTAGGGTTTAGGGAGTATAAGGGATTTGCCAGATAGTTGGGTTTAGAGTTGAATAAGCGTCCAGCACCTCAAGTCCAAAGTCTGGCAGCTTGTCAAGCAACGGGGAGAAGAAAGAGACCTCAACTTCAACCCTAAACCCTACCCCTAAACCCTGAACCCTGAAAACACCCCAAGCCCCCGCCCCCCTCCCCGCACCCAAATGAAGGCAGGGCCTTCTCGGCATCCTGGTCGGCCGAGGAGCCCATCCAGCCGATGGTGACCTCGGCCAAGCACTCGAGGCTGCAGGCTCGAGGGTGCCAACGGCTAAAGATAAGGTCCCTGTTTAGGGTTTGGGGGATTAGGTTTAGGCTTCCGAGCCTTAAGTAGGTTCAGGGTTTAGGGGGTTAGAGGATGGAGCAAAAGGCTAAATCTGAAGGGGGGGGGGGGGGTTAGGGTTTTGAGTTTGGAGGGGGTTGGGGCTTAGGGCTGATGTAGTGCGAAGGCTGTATTTGCTCAGAAGGTCCACGTGCAGCAGTGTTGTGGAATTCAGCACCCAGAAGCCATACTAAGTAGGGCTTCGGAGTACCCAGTTCCATAACTAGACCCAAGAGTGACCCAGGACCCTAAACCCTAAACCCTAAACCCTAAACCCTAAACCCTAAACCCCCAAAATAAGGGGAACTCTGGGTGCCAAAAATTCGGGTTCAGGGCCCCTTTTCCTTCTTTGGGTGGGTCGGCGTCGAAGGGAGTCTATGTAAAGGGCACCTAATTGTCAGCGACCCTACGTTCGCCTGAGCCCTAAACCCTGAACATCCCTAAACCCTAAACCCTAAACCCTAAACCCTAAACCCTAAACCCTCAACCCTAAGAAGTGACAGTCGATTGGCTTGGGGGAACGCAGGGCTTAGGTGCAGGGCTGAGGAGGGTTTAGGGTTTGGGGCGTTTGGGGTTTAGGGTTTAGGGTTTAGGGTATAGGGGTTGGGGTCCAAACCGTTTGGGGTTTAGGGTTTATAGGGCTTGGGGTTCTGATCCTAGGCGTTTTGGGATTCAGGTTCTAGGGACCCAACGCCCCTCGCGCACCACCAATCTGGACGCAACGTGCTCAGCGCTTAGGTCTCAAAGCCCGAGAGCATGCTCTCTAAACCCTAAACCCTCAACCCTCAACCCTCAACCCCAAACCCCAAACCCTAAACCCTAAACCCTTAGCCCCAAGCATGCAAACCCTTGGCACGCCAAGTGCGTGGCCGGATGAGGAATGACGTCTACCACAGCGAAGTCGCGCACCTGGAAGGAAAAAGACACATGTGATCCTCTTAAACCCAAAAAGGGGTTTAGGGTTTAGGGTTTAGGGTTTGGGATTTAGGGTTTAGGGTTTAGGGTTTAGGGCTTAGGGTACCACAAGCTCGTGGGCTTTGAAACCAAGAGCCCTTAATTAACCCTTCGGAACTTCCAACCCTGCACCCTGGAACCCCAAACCCCCCCAGGGCGCAGGGATTGAGATGTCCACAAGGTTGACAGGGTTTAGGGTTTAGGGTTTAGGGTTTAGGGTTTAGGGTTTAGGGTTTAGGGTTTAGGGTTTAGGGTTTAGGGCTCCTAGCCGCTGCAGGCGGAGTGAGAAAGGCACAAGGTTCGCGGACCAAAGGCCTCAACCCACGAAACATCTCTCAACTGGACTTGGGATGTTCCCCCTTATACCTTTGTACGGGTTTAGGGTCCGCCGACCCTGGCGGCGTGTTGGATGGGAAAAGGAGGTGAAAACTTCCCTCTTTTCCCCAAAATGTGGGGGGGGGGGGGTACCCCGCCAGCTTTTCCGTGGACGAACAGGCCACCCACACCGCGTCCCCACCCCCCCCCCCCCCCCCCCCCCCCCCCCCCCCCCCCCCCCCCCACCCCCCCCCCACCCCCCCAAACACAGGAACCGCAAACCTGCGGAGTCGGCGGGCTTGAGCCGGAGGCTCTTAAATTTAGGGTTTAGGGTTTAGGGTTTAGGGTTTAGGGTTTAGGGTTTAGGGTTTAGGGTTTAGGGTTTAGGGTTTAGGGTTTAGGGTTTAGGGTTTAGGGATTTTAGTACCGCCTATTAGCATCCCTAATTACTAAGGACTGTTTGTTTAAGGCGGAACATCTATAAACCCTCAACACTACCAAGTTCGAGGCGTGAGCACTGGGCTGCGTTGCCCCTTTAGGGTTTGGGTCTTGTCCGTGCCATCATCCCCTCTAAGCCCGATGGGTGTCGGATTTGGGGCTTAGGGCTTAGGGTTTAATTTATGGTAAGTGGCAGTACGCTAAACACTGAACCCCAAACCCTAAACCCCTACGCGCCCTGCCTTGTACAGAGGCGACAGCATTGCGGCTTGAAGCGCGCAGCCCCTGGCCACCGACTCGTCCGCATTCATGGTGGTGGACAGCTCCTCTTTAGGGTTTAGGGTTTAGGGTTTAGGGTTTAGGGTTTAGGGTTTAGGGTTTAGGGTTTAGGGTTTAGGGTTTAGGGTTTAGGGCTTAGGGTGGGAAAGGGAAATCGGCCTTCCGAGTTCAGGGCTTTGAAGAACCCTAAATAGTTGCGCCGAAGCGGCCTGCATCCCGCAAATCTCCATGATAGACCTTACACTCCTACCTTTGTTTTGCACACCCGCCAAACCCCCCCCCCCCCACCCCCCCACCCCCCACCACCCAACCTCCCCCCCCCCCCCCCCCCCCCCCACCCCACCCCACCCCCAACAAACCCCACCCCCCCCACCCCACCAACCCCACCCCTCCCCCCCCCCCCCCCCCCCCCCCACCCCCCCCCCACCCCCCCCCCACCCCCCCCCCCCCCCCCCCCACCTGACCCCCGCCCCAGCCCCGACCGGGTTGCCTCGTCACAGAAGCTCAGGAAGAGGCGGGTCAAAATTAGCTGGCAATCTGGGATCAAAAACGCAAGCGTTTCGGATCTAAAGGGCCTGGAGTTTAGGGTTGAAAGCCCTGCCGGGGTATAACGCTAAACCATTGTGGGCCCAGTTCGTCCCCGACGAACCCGATGCTGCGAACACAAGCAAAACCGCCACATACCGCAACCCCAATCCCCACAACCCCAAACCCCTAATTCCTAAACCACAAACCCTAAACCCCAAACCCCAAACCCTAAACCCCAAACCCTAAATCCTAAACCCTATAAACCCCAAACTCCAAACTCCAAACCCCAAACCCCAAACTCCAAACCCCAAACCCCAAACCCCAAACCCTAAACCGATGCCGGTGGAAGCTCCTTCCCACCGAAGGCTTTGGAGCAGAACTCCTGAAGACCGCCCAAGGTTGCAGGCTTCGGGGCTTCCGGGTTGAAGGCGTTTAGGCTTTAGGGCTAGGGTTGAAGGTTTAGGGTTTAGGGTTTAGGGTTTAGGGTTTAGGGTTTAGGGTTTAGGGTTTAGGGTTTAGGGTTTAGGGTTTAGGGTTTAGGGTTTAGGGTGTAGGGTGTAGGGTGTAGGGTGTAGGGTGTAGGGTGTAGGGTGTAGGGTGTAGGGTGTAGGGTGTAGGGTGTAGGGTGTAGGGTGTAGGGTGTAGGGGTTGAATGTGGCTTGGGCTTTTATGAACACTCCTTGACTTCAGTTCATGGGTTCGGATGTGAGAATTAGAGGGTCTCAACACGTTCTGTGGCTGCGTGCCGTGATTGGCACTGCGCACCCTAAACCTGAAGACCCTAAACCCTAAACCCTAAACCCTAAACCCTAAACCTTAAGACCCTAAGGCCTAAAACCCCTCAAGCCCCTACAGCTCAGGGACTCAAGGAGGACCCGTATTCTTGAGGGGTTTTTTGGGGGCTACTTAGGAATATAGGGACTATATACCCTAAACCCTGAACCCTAAACCCTGAACCCTGAACCCTGGTACATACAGGTGTTATATAGGGGAATAAGATGAAGGGTCTTTTCCATGGGTCCCTTCTTTTTTCCCCTTAACGAAAACCCAGGGTTAGGGTTGAGGGTTAGGGAGTAGGGTTTAGGGTTTAGGGTTTCGGGTTTAGAGTTAAACCCCAAATTAAAGGCCCTACAGGCTGAACCCAAATACACATGCACCCTGAACCCTAGCAAGCCCGTAGACCCTTACCCCTACATCCTAAGGGTTTAGGGTTTAGGGTTTAGGGTTTAGGGTTTAGGGTTTAGGGTTTAGGGTTTAGGGTTTAGGGTTTAGGGTTAAGGGTTTAGGGTGAGCCCTCTACCTGATGCCCCTAAAGCTGAACTTAAACCTTACGTGTTAAACCGTAACAATCTAAAAACCCTAAACCCTAAGAACCCTAAACCCCTAGGAACCCTTAACCCTGAGAACCCTAAATCCTAAGAACCCTAAAAACCCCAAGAACCCTACGAACCCTAAACCCCAAGAACCCGAAACCCAAAAGAATACCGAAACTCCTTTTTGCGTAAGAAAAATGAAAGGTAAGGATCCCCTGTCTTACCCTTATAAGGAAGAATGGCTTTTTCATTAAAAACCCTAACCCCTAAGCCGCGCCCTTAAACCCTAAGCCCTAAACCCTAAACCCTAAACCCGTCCTAAACCCTAAACCCTAAACCCGTCCTAAGCCCTGTACTAAACCCTAAGCCATGCCCTGCGCGGAAGGGCCCCTCCGCATGTCCTTGACCCATGGAACGCGCGAGGCCCCGCCAATCATCTCTACAAAGTCAATCCTGAGCGTTTAGGGTTTAGGGTTTAGGGTTTAGGGTTTAGGGTTTAGGGTTTAGGGGTTTAGGGGTTTAGGGTTTCGGGTTATAGGGATTAGGGTTTAAGTTTAGGGTTATAGGGATTTAGGGTTCAGTGTTTAGGGTTTAGGGTTCTTCCAAAAGCCGGGAGATGCACCAGATTTTCCGCCACAAGAAGGGCATGTGACCCCAGAAGCCCGAAGCCACTAAAAAGCAAAAGCATTAAGCTGAATGAGCTGAAAATTTGAAAACTAGCTCCAATCACCAAGGGGGAAGGAAAGGTTAAACTTCATTATTCCTACTACATACAGAAACCCCAAAAGTTCAAAGTTCAACTATTGGGCAAGTACAACCCTAAACCCTAAACCCTAAACCCCAAACCCTAAACCCTAAACCTTGGACACTAACCACCATCACTCTAAACTCTAAACTCCCAAACCATCCTAACACCCTAAGACCCTAAACCTCCCTAAGCCTTAAAGCCTAAAAACCTTGAGAAGGAAGCAGCTGCCATTACGTTCACATTTTCATTTCACCCCTTATGCTCTTCCATTCGCTTCTTACCCTTTGATTTACTATTCTGAGCACATGTCCCCATCATCAGTCAGATTCACATAAACCCTAAACTAAACCCTAAACTAAACCCTAAACCCGGAACCCTAAACCCGAAACGCTAGACCCCAAACCCCCACACCCGAAACCCTAAACCCCAAACCCCAAACCCTAAACCCCAGACCCACAAACCCTAAACCCTAAACCCTGAACCCTGAACCCTAAACCCTAAACCCTAAACCCTAAACCCTAAACCCTAAACCCTTCCTCTGGGGCCCCCCACTGCTCCGCGGCGACTCCTGCAGCCGCTGCGGCGGCCTTCGCTCCCTCCAGCACCGCAGAGACCCTGCGGCACAAGGGAGCTTTGCAGTGCAAGGGCTTCGTGTAGGGTTTAGGGTTTAGGGTTTAGGGTTTAGGGTTTAGGGTTTAGGGTTTAGGGTTTAGGGTTTAGGGTTTAGGGTTTAGGGTTTAGGGTTTAGGGTTTAGGGTTTAGGGTTTAGGGGGGTTTGGGTTTAGGGTTTTGGGTTTAGGGTTTGGGTTTTGGGTTTTGGGTTTGGGGTGTTGGGGTTTGGGGTTTGGGGTTTGGGGTTTGGGGTTTTTTGGGGTTTGGGGTTTGGGGTTTGGGGTTTGGGGTTTGGGGTTTCGGGTTTAGGGTTTAGGGTTTAGGGTTTAGGGTTTAGGGTTAGGGCTTGGGGCTTGGGGCTTGGGGCTTGGGGTTTGGGGTTTGGGGTTTGCGGTTTGGGGTTGGGGAGGGGGGGTAGTAGGGGGGTATGGCTTCTTGGGTTTCGAGGGCTTTCTTGGGTTTAGGGCTTCTAGACTTCTAGGCCTTCTCAGCCTACACCCTAGACCCTAAACCCTAAACCCTCAACCCTCCTAGGGCTTTCTAGGGTTCAGGGTTTCTAGGCTTTCCGTAGGGCTTAAGGCTCAGAGAGTTCACCACTGAGTTGGGGAACTTGTGGCTCCATGGCCGGGCTGGCGTAGCATGCATTCTGAAGCCTCAAAAACCCTAAATCCTACAGTTTAGGGCTTAGGGTTTAGGGTTTAGGGTTTAGGGTTTTGGGTTTAGGAACGGTTCAGGAACCCCTCCCGGCTGCAATCTGCCTGTCCATCATGGGCTGGCACATCTCAAGGAAGACGTCGCGGGTGATGGTGGAGCCGAAGTCTTCATCCTGGCCCAGGCTCTGGGCTGGAACACGGCTTACACGCCCTACGAAAGCTAAACCCTAAACCCTAAACCCTAAACCCTAAACCCCTAAGCCCTAAGCCCTAAGCCCTAAACCCTAAAAAAGGGTGCCCTTTTTGGTTTAACAGGGGCATGGAAGGGAAACCTGAACCTTGAGAAAAAGGGAATAAGGGCCTACCAGAAAACCTGCTCAGGGTCTCTGATGCCCCCCACAACCCTGGTTTGCTGTTGAGGGCTTCGGGTAAGACCCCCCAAAGCCAAACCCACGGCAATAGAGAAGAACACCTCTTAACCTAAGGCAACAACACCCTGCTGAGCCTTAAACCCTGAACCCTCAACCCCAAACCCTGGCCCTAAACCCTAAACCCTAAACCCGAAACCCTAAACCCTAAACCCTAAACCCTTAACCCTGAACCCTGAACCCTAAACCCTAAACCCTAAACCCTAAACCTAAACCCTAAACCCTTTTGGCTCGGGACTTCTTTGCATCAGAGGGATTTGTAGGTGCCGGGGATGAGGTCTTAAGGTGTCGGGGTCCCTAAGCCCGATGCCGCCATGCCGAAGTGTCAAAACCCTGCGAAGAAAAGGGTTTAGGGTTTAGGGTTTAGGGTTTAGGGTTGAGGGTTTAGGGTTTACGGTTTAGGAGCCCAAACCCGAGACTTTAGGCTGCACTTCTCCCAACTTGGCTGCACTCAAAAGGGTAGCTATACATTAGTTTTTTTTAGCTGCCATATTAAGAAACCCAATAAACCCAAAAAGGTTAAGGATCTAGAGTTACAGTAAAGCACCACAGAGCCAAGGCACCCTGCTTCGCATGGCTTTCTACTACGTGGACCCTGTGGGCAGGGAGTTTCGATGTTGGGTAGAACTTGTGTAGGATCCCTGTAGCCAAACCCAAGTGGAGTAGCCTAGGAATAAAAAAGGGTGCCCTTTTTGGTTTAAAGGGGCTCACAAGGCAACCTAAACCCCAAGAAAAGGAATCAGGCCTACTCTGGGTCCTAGTTAGCTGAGACCAAGGTGCCTCCATGAGGCATTCCACAGAGAGCTGTGCCTGGGAGCCAGGAGTATGTATGTTTGCGGCCAACCCCCTAGAGTTTAGGGTTCAAGGTTTGAGGTTCAGGGCTTTCGGATTTTACGGTTTAGGGCCCTGAACCCTAAACCGCGAACCGTAAACCCTAAACCCTAATCCCAAATTAGGGCTTAGGATGCAGAACCGTGAGAATCTGAACAATCATCATTCTGACACAGTAGCACTCCCAACCCTGAATCCCTTCCCAGGGTGTCGGAGGGAGATGCCTTGGATATCCCAACTGTGCTTCAAAACCTTTGTTTCCAAAGCTTACCCTCAGGGTCCATGCACCTAAATAGGAAAATATTGGGCCTTAAAGTGCTTCCTAGAAACGGACGTTGGGGCCCAAGTAGAGATACACGCCATCATCAAATTTAATCCCGAAACCGCGCTCGTGTTTGGGGCTTTGGCTCAACCAACAACTTGACAACACTACAAACCCCAAAGCCCCAGCCCAATGGCCGAAAATTCCAAAACTCTGAAAGACCCTGAACCCTAAACAGCCAGACCCTCAAACCCCTCAACCCACAAAACCTAAACCCTAAACCCTAAACAGCCAGACCCTAAACCCTGAACAGCCAGACCCTCAACCCCCTTCAACCCACAAGACCTAAACCTCAGGCCATGACCTCTAAACCCTAATCCCCACATCCCCTAAACCCTAAACCTTAAACCCCTAAACCCCTAAACCCCTACACCCCTAAACCCCTAAACCCCTAAACCCCTAAACCCCTAAACCCCTAAACCCCTAAACCCCTAAACCCCTAAACACCTAAACCCCTAAACCCCTAAACCCCTAAACCCCTAAACCCCTAAACCCCTAAACCCCTAAACCCCTAAACCCCTAAACGCCTAAACCCCTAAACCCCTAAACCCCTAAACCCCTAAACCCCTAAACCCCTAAACCCCTAAACCCCTAAACCCCTAAACCCCTAAACCCCTAAACCCTAAACCCTGAACCCTGAACCCTGAACCCTAAGGCCATGACCTCATTGTTGGCAGAGAGAATCTTCTTGGTCTTGGTGACAGCTTCCTGCCAAGTGGTTTGAGGATTAGGGCTTAGGGCTTAGGGCTTAGGGTTTAGGGTTTAGGGTTTAGGGTTTAGGGCTTAGGGTTTAAGGTTTAGGGTTTAGGGCTTAGGGCTTAGGATTGGGGCCAGTTCCCACGTCCATGGCTGTTACAAAGGGGGTAGAGAGGGACCCTAGAAAGAGCCCCTGAACCTTATTCCCCTATGGAACCCATATATACATACATATAAGTACATAAATATATAAGTATATCAATATAAACATACATACATATATATATATACCTTCTAGAGTCCCTATACCCCCTGTGTCTCCCCTACACTAACCCTCAGGTCTCTTTTCAGGGTCCTTCCTTTCGTCCCGTGATGCTAGCCCTGCGCCCTGCGATGTCAGGGAGCCCAGACTCAAGGCTCTGAAGCCAGAGTGCCTGCGATCCTGTTTAGGGTTTAGGGTTTAGGGTTTAGGGCTTAGGGTTTAGGGTTTCGGGTTTGGGGTTTAGGGTTTGGCCGTTTACCCCGAAAACAAGGGTTGCTTTCAGATCATTCTTTCGGGCAGCTTGGGTTCAGGCAGGCCCTTTCGAAGCACTAAATCCTAAACCCCTAAACCCTAACCCCTAAACCTGAACCCTGAACCTACCATAAACCCCAGAGGGTTTAGGGTTTAGGGTTTGGGGTTTGGGGGCTTAGGTTTGGGGTTTGGGGCTTGGGGTTTGGGGTTTGGGGTTTAGGGTTCAGGGTTCAGGGTTTCACGCTTTAGCTGCCTCGAGCTTGAACGCCGCCTTCTTGCTGGACAGCGGGTCGCAGCCTACTTTCCTCGGGGTCAAGCGAAAGAGCTTGGGGCAAGCGCTCTGGGTTGAGTTGTTGGGGCCGGCGGAGCCTGTGGGGATTTGACAAGGGCTTAGGGTTTGGAAGGTTTGGGAGGTTTAGGAGGTTTAGGAAGTTTTGGGCTTGCTGCAGGGCCTACCGTCTTGGCTTTTGGGGGAGGGTGGTTGGGGAGGTTTAACTCGTGCTTCGGGTTTTGAATGGCCGTTTGTATTCCTTGCTTGTCAGGCTTCATAGGCCGGCAAAATGCTTACGGCAGGCCCTTTTGCTTTTCTGAAGGCCGCGATGGATGCTGCTGTCTTAGGGACCCCTGTAGGCCCCTAAAAGTTATAGGGTTCTTGAGGGAGGGGGGTTCAAGAGGGCCAAGGTTCCCTAATACTCCCCACTAACTAACTTGGCTGCTCTTAGCAGGGTAGCTATAAAATTCAAATGTTAGCTGCCTTCTTAAGAAGCCCAATAAACCCAAAAAGGCTAAAGACGTAAAGTTACAGTAAAGCACCACAAAGTTTATTAATTTCTAAGGCTCCCTAAGCTGAACCCCCCTCCCTCAATAGCCCTGTGGAAGCCCAACAAACCCTGAACGCCTTGAGCCCCTCAACCCTCCCAAACCAGTAACCCCTTCAACCCTTGAACCCCCCTCTTTGGTACCCTGCATCCCAAGCAAGTCCCAAGCCCTCAGCCCACCTAGCCCTAAACCCTAAACCCTAAACCCTAAACCCTAAACCCGAAACCCTAAACCCTAAACTTCTAAGCCCTAAACCCTCGACCCCTGAAAGCAGCTCAGGCTCTTCTGGAATTGCCGGGCGAACTCGCGCATCAGGCATTCCGTCATTGTCCTACGCTTTTGGCTATTTAGGGTTTAGGGTTTAGGGTTTAGGGTTTAGGGTTAGAGGTTTGTAGGGTTATAGGCTTGTAGAGTTAATGCCATATAGGGTTCTAGGATGTTATTGGCTTGTAGGGTTATATATACAGTTATGGAGTGACAGTAGGGCGTTCATAGGGCTATAGGCTTTGTAGGGTTCTAGGGTTATTGACTGGAGTTGTTGTAAGCCTTCTAGGCTTGAAGGGCTACAGACTTATTGGACTTGTTATCCATTATAACGCTTATAGGCTTGCAGAGCAGGGCTTAGGGTGAACTCTGACAACTTCGGCATCTCGCTTTGGCTTGAGACTTGGGGGCTCGGGCAGGCTTGGGAGGTAGGGTCCACCTCGACCTCGTGGCTTTGGGGTACTAGGGGTTCAGGGTGTAGGGTTTCCTAGGTTGTTGGGGTTGAGTCTTTGCTGGTTTGCCGTGTTTAGGCTTGGGGGATCCGGAACCGGGCGGAACCCACCGGGATCTTCGAATTCACCCTAAACCCTAAACTCTAAACTCTAAACCCTAAACCCTGAACCCTAAACCCTAAACCCTAAACCCCTAGAATGCCTTGAGTCCCCGATGCCGCAGTCCTTCCTCCCACCTTGTCTGACTTCTCACAGATGACCTGGGCAACATTGCCCGGATGGTTTAGGGTTTAGCGTTTAGTACCTGAGCCTAAGCCCTAAATTAAAACCCCCAAACCCCTAAACTAAGTGCCAGTTTCTAACTCGAACTACCCTGTAAACCCTAAACCCTGAACCCCCCTCCCCCCTCCCCCCGCCACACTCTAGGTAGTGGGGCGCGGGCCTGTTTTTCAAAAACTGATTTTCATGGGGTCCTATAATACTGCGATCCCAACTACCCAGGACTTACTTAGGAGCTTAGCTTTGCCTCTACCCGAACTACCTTTGCACAAAGTAAGGGTCCTTTGGGCCCTAAACCCTATAAACCCTGTAAACCCCATGAACCCTATGAACCCTAACCCCAAACCCTAAAGGGCTATAGGGTTTCCTATGCCTACTTAAGGCAGCGACAAAAAGGGACATTGGGGCTTAGGTTTAGGGGCCTAGCGTAGGGCTTTGGAGTTTTCGGAATCTTCCGGTATTCAGAAAGGGGACATTCGGGTATAGGCTTTAGGGTTTGGGATTTAGGGTTTCGGGTTTAAGGTCTAGGTTTGGGGTTCAGGGTACGGGAACAGCACTGCGTAGAATCCTTTTTAGGCATAGGGGCTAGGGTTGAGGGTATAATTAGGTTTTAGGGCTCGCAGGTTTTAGGGTTCAGGTTTGGGGTTTAGGGACTGTAAGGCCTTAAGCCCTGAAGCCAAACCGCAAACCCTAAACCCTAAACCCTAATGGTAACCCTAAACCCTAAACCCTTAAACCCTGAAGCCAAGACCATAAACCCTTTCCTCCGAGGCAAGCGCTGTGAGCTTCCCACGGACAAACTGCACCACGGAGACGGAGAACATGGTATGGCCCATGTTGCCTGGGCTTCGAACTCTGGCAGTGCGTAGGGTTTGGGGCTTAGTCATGTTTTAGGGTTAGGGTTTAGGGTTTAGGGTCTACGGTCTAGGGTTTTGGGTTTAGGGTTTCGGGTCTAGGGTTTAGGGTTCAGGGTTCAGGGTTCAGGGTTTAGGGTTTGGGGCACAGGGTTTCGCACCAAAAGGAGCTAGGGTTGACAGTGTTTTTGCAGTTTGTGGGACTTAGGAGGTGTTTGAATGGCTAGGGTGCCCAAGAACCTAGGATTAAAACGGGTGCCCTGTTTTGCTTAAAGGGGTTTAGAAGGGAACCTAATCTCCCCCTGAAAGGGAATAAAGGGCCTACTCTGGGTCCCAGATTAGGGCATTGGGAATTCGGTAGAGCGCAGCGCCGCCTCCAAAAGTATCACAATGATCCCTACTAACCGCAGGAACCGAACCATAACTTCATGTACACGTTTGGGGATTTTGGCTTAGAGGTCTCGGTACGGGTTTAGGGTTTCGGGTCTAGGAGTCTAGGGTGTAGAACCCTAAACCCTAAACCGTTAAACCTGAACTCAGTACAGGGGCCCTAAACCCTAAACCCTAAACCCTAAACACTAAACACTAAACACTAAACCCTAAAGCCTAAGCCCTAAACGCCAAGCCGAGGTGCAGAAAGCCACTGTACAAGGCTTCTCAGCGTCGAAGTCGTTCGAGCCTTATCTGGCTGGTTCTTAACATGGGGAATGAGGGACTTCGGGTCCTATATGAGAGTTTAGGGTTTAGGGTTTAGGGTTTAGGGTTTAGGGTTTAGGGTTTAGTGTTTAGGGTTTAGGGCTTTGGTTTTAAGGCTTAGGGTGTAGGGAATGAGGGAATTAGGGCCAAAATTATCCCTTTTAAAGGATTCTATAGGGTACCTCATTCCCTCGTTCCCTACTAAGAACCAGCCAGTAATTACAAGATTTCGGGTTTTGTGGAGTAGGGTTAATAAGGTCTGGGGTCTAGGGTCTAGGGTTGAGGGGCTAAGGGTTCTTTTTTTGGCCCTAAACCCTACTCCCTAAACCCTAACCGAAACCCTAAACCGAGGCTGAGCAGCGGTAGATGCCATAGGCAAGGGCGGTGGCCGTGTGCTCGTTCATAAGGCCTCGGTGGCGAACCCTGAACCCCAAACCCGGAACAACGTTTAGGGTTTAGGGTTTAGGGTTTAGGGGTTTGGGGTGTAGGGTTTAGGGTTTAGGGTTTCGGGTTTAGGGTTTCGGGTTTAGGTTTATAGGGTTTGTGTTTAGGGTTTGGGAAATCGGTATCCTGTATCATCCCTTGGAGGGTCTATACATGGGGAAAGAAGGTGCGGCAGTACCCTAAACCCTAAACCCTAAACCCTAAAACCCTTCATTAATTGCATTCCCGCATAAGCGCACTCTGTCCGAGCATGTCGTCGGACGTGAGAGCATGCCGATGACTCCCACCCCAGATCGATGTGGCATCCGCTGCTGGCTGGCGCAGGTGCGCCCCTGTAAGGCGCGGCTGGGGTTCAGGGTTCAGGGTTCAGGGTTCAGGGTTCAGGGTTCAGGGTTTAGGGTTTAGGGTTTATAGGGTTTAGGGTGCGCAACAGCGAGCCCCGCAACGCAGACACTCTTTGTGTCGGCAGGCGTGTGGCTGCGGGACAGACTGCACCCTGCGCTTTTGGCGAGGCGTTGGAATTCAAGGTCCAAGACATGACGTTCAAATAACGACAAACAGGTCACCTGTTGCGCGTCTCATGCCTCTCAAACATCTCCAGCTCCGCAGCCTTTCCCCGTGCAGCACATCTGCTGTCTTTCCGCAATTCCGCAATTCCTCTTTCAAAGTCTTCTGCGGCGGATGCTGCAGTCTCTCCGAGGAAGGAGGGCTCGCAGCCGCTGGATCAAGGCTTCTAGCTTGTGTAGAGGTAGCTAAGGGTTTAAGGGTTAAAGGGTTCAGGGTTCAGGGTTCAGGGTTTGGGGTTTGGGGTTTGGGGTTTGGGGTTTGGGGTTTGGGGTTTGGGCGCTTCAACCTCCGTGGGAGTGGGTCGCGCGGTGTCAAAGGGAAGCGCCTATAGCTGATACGGGGTACTTGGAGGTTCATGGCACTTAGTAACCAATTGTAGCTGTACTTGTCACCCACTTAAAAGCCCCTTAAGTGCCCTAATATGGATATAAGTACAGTTATAAGTACATTTACAATTGGTTAATAAGTACCATGAACCTCCAAGTAGAGGTTTAGGGCTCACCAAAGTTCGCGCGAAAACAACAGGCTATAACGGCCATAAGCTGGCTTATTTGGCCCCTAAAACCCGAACCCTGTAGACCCTGAACCTAAACCCCAAACCCCTAAACCCTCAAGTTTAGGGTTTAGGGTTTAAGGTTTAGGGTTTAGGTTTTAGGGTGCTCCCAAAAGCCCCAAACCCGTAAACCACAAAAACGGAGCCGGGCCGCGAAGCACCGGGAGGCCCGCGATCTTGGCGGCGTCCAAGAGCGCCTTGGAAAGGAAAGGCGGGTGGGGGGGGGGGGTACTAGAGGGTTCAGGGTTCAGGGTTTAGGGTTGAGGGTTGAGGGTTGAGGGTTTAGGGGTCGGGTTGAGGATCATTGGGGGGTTTTGTGGTCCTGCAATAAAGCCTCAAAACACCTAAAGCCTACCTTGGCCCCCCCAAAGTTTACAGCACGATGAGCTGCATGGGGTTTGGGGCTTAGGGTTTCGAGATTAGGGTTTGGGATCTAGGGCTCAGGGTGTTCAAACCTGAAAAAATGAGTGGATAGGTCATTGTTCTGTAATTTGGAGGTGGGATTGTAGGATTCTCGGGTCAGGGCTTGGAGTCTACAGACCTTTTGGCATTTCCCGGGTCCGCTTGGGTTTAGGGCGGTACAGGGTTCTTTAGGGTTTAGGGTTTGGGGTTTAGGGTTTGGGGTTTAGGGTTTGGGGTTTAGGGTTTAGGGTTTAGGGTTTAAAGTTCAGGGTGTAAGTTTTTGGATTTAGGGCTTTGAGCCTGAAGCAAAACGGCAAAAAAAAACCCAAAACGTTTTGGCACCGTTGGCGTACAAGAAAGCAAGGGGCTCAAGCCCAATAGTAAACCCGAACCCAAGCTCCGATGGGCAGGGAAACCCTAAACCCTAAACCCTAAACCCTAAACCCTAAACCCTAGCTACTCTATAGGAACCCCCTTGTTAAGGCCCTCAAGTACCTTCCAAGGTACTAATAAGGGTCCGAGTACCTCGTTCTGAGATACTTGGGCCCCAAAGTCCTTGTATTGGAGGTACTTTAAGGCCCAAGTATTCCCGATTTAAGTACATGGACCTCTAGGGGATGGTGTTGGGAACCCTAAACCCTTAGAGTTTAGGGTTTAGGGTTTAGGGTTTCGGGTTTAGGGTTTAGGGTTTGGGGTTTCGGGTCCCTGAGACTTCGAGGCCCTGAGCAGGCCTGTCTGTGAACATCGGAGTAGTATGAAGGCACGCCGATCACGCAGTCGGCCACCTGCCATGTCTAGATTGGGTTAACCCTAATCCCTAAACTCTAAACCCTTAACCCTAAACCGCATTTAGGAGATTAGGGCTTGGGGCCCACACAAGGACCATAGCCCCATGCTCCTAGCAACACCCTACACCAAAGACCTCGAACTTGTCAACCAAGGTCTGGGGCATAGGTTTTTGGGGTTTAAGGTTTAGGGTTTAGGGTTTTGTGCCTTCACCGTCGCCGTTTAACTATTGAACTGTGCAATCCACGGACAAGAGCGGGTCCTACCCTGCATTTTGCCCCCGGCAAGGCTGCTGCAGTCAGCTTCACGCTTGATCACGTACGCTCCAAGGAAATAGCCCTTCGCAATTCCTGTGCGTACTTCCAGCAAGCCACTCCCTCAAATCGATCAGCGTGGCGCTGGCCCGGCAACCTGGGTTCATGTCAGAAAGGAACTCAGAGTAAGTTGAGGAAGCTACCACGACATTGTGGGAGCAATGGTATGTATATACCATGCATAGTATGGTTTCCTGACCTTGTTGAGAAAAAAACCTTCGTTACGTGCCTGCCCGGAAACTCATCGCCAGCTTTCCCAGCTTGCCAGTTTCCTGGTGCTTCTCACTGCCAATCCTCCAAAGCCACACACGCGCTCTGGCACTATCAAGGATCCCGTCCACAGCTCCGAATTGCCAGCAGAAAGCATCCGGCGTCTCACGCGCTCTCTGTAAGCAAGCAGTCGCCACCTCCTTCAAGATCGGGAGGCGGCAGGAAAGCTCACACATAGCATTGACGTGCGATACCTCCCCACTCTCGGAATCCAACACGCAAGCACTCAGTGGCAGTTGATCCCAGGCAGCCTCGCACCACTCGCCGCTCACATGCGCGAGGACTGGCTGGTCGTGGACACGGTGCCGTGCGCAGAAGGTGGTGATGCCAAGCTCCACGTCGTCCACCGGGGCAACGCAGCCGAGCATGAACCTCTCGCCTTCGAAATCCATGGCCGTCTTGCGCGTGTGAAGCACCGTGTTCATGCGCGGGGGCTGCCAATGCTCGATAATCCTGGGCCGCTCAGCAAAGAACTAACCCTAAACCCTTAACCCCTAAACCCTCAACCCTCTCAGCCCCCTAAACCCCCCAAACCCCCCCAAACCCCCTAAGACCCCCTGAAGAACCTCGACATCTTAACCCGGCGAAGTTGTGTTGACGAAGACCATTTTCCCAAAGTCAGGGACAGCTTCAGGAGTTACCTTCGGGCGACCCAGGGGTTTAGGGTTTCGGGTTCGGGGTTTTTGGTTTAGGGTTTGGGGTTGAGGGTTTGGGGTTTAGGGTTCGGGGCTTAGGGCTTAAGGTTTAGGCTTTCGAGAAGACTTCTCTAAGGGGCATTCTATGAGCAGATTAAGCATGCACACACGGCTTCAACCCAGACTCTTCTTCACCTTTGGGAAGAGGAAGTCCGTGCACACCGCAGCGTCGTCCTCTGAGTTCATAAGCCCCCCAAAAGTGTACAGTAACCCTAAACCCTAAACCCTAAACCCTAAACCCTAAACCCTAAACCCCTAAGTCCTTGAAGTAGGCGTCGAAGTCCACGGGGAAGTCTGTCTTCGCGTTGCGCCCGCTGGTCAGAAATGCAGGTGTCAGGCCAGACCACTCAGCCATGATGTCCTTAGGGTTTAGGGTTTAGGGTTTAGGGTTTAGGGTTTAGGGTTTAGGGCTTAGGGCTTAGGGCTTAGGGCTTAGGGCCTAGGGCCTAGGGTTTAGGGTTTAAGGTTTAGGGTGCTCCGCTGATGCAGAGCACACGGGTGCTCAACCTGAACATGTTCCGGAGTACGGCCCGCGTTGGAGACCCTAAACCCTAAACCCTAAACCCTAAACCCTAAACCCTAAACCCTAAACCCTAAACCCTAAACAAGCCCTAAACTCAAGACCCTAAACCGAGCTGCGTTGAAGAAGAAGTAGGGGAAGTCACAGTCCACGTTGTAGGCAGGCAGCGAGGCGGGTGCCCGCTTGGAGAAGCACATGAAGGGGGCCCGGCGCAAGGCATGGGATTTCAGGAGCTTTGACATTCCGCGTTCCCTACGTTTAGGGTTTAGGGTTTAGGGTTTAGGGTCTAGAGGGCTTCGGGCTTCATAGGGCTTATTGGTATGGAACCCGGAGGTGTGATGGAGGAAGGCTTTGAGATGTGCTAGATTACTAGAGTAGGGTTTCGGGTTTCGGGTTTCGGGTTTCGGGTTTAGGGTTTAGGGTTTCGGGTTTAGGGTTTAGGGTTTAGGGTTTAGGGTTTAGGGTTTAGGGTTTAGGGTTTAGGGTTTAGGGTTTAGGGCTTAACTGTGGTTTTGGCCATAAGGTTCAGCTGCTTCGCTGCTGGGGAGTGTAGGATTCAGTGAGAAGTTTCAAGCCAAAGGCTGCCGCAAGGGAAAGACACTCCCAGACATGTTAACCCCAAACCCCAAACCCTAAACCCTAAACCCTAAACCCTAAACCCTAAACCGTAAACCCCTAAACCCCTAAACCCTAATCACCCCAAACCCCCAAACCCCCAAACCCTAAACCCTCATCCCCGTTAGGCTCTCGCCTTCGAGAGTTGCGTCTGCTCGGAAGGCTTGGGGCATAGCGCCAAGAGGATTGAGGTGCTTCAGGGTTGAGTTTGGGAGTTTAGGGTTTAAGGTTTAGGGTTTAGGGTTTAGGAAGGACCCTTTTGGCCAGTCGGGAAACCCTAAGCACTAAACCCTTTAGTGCGTTCTAAGGCTTGGGGGGCGGGGGGGGGTTCAGGTTAAAGCTCGGGGCTTTCAGGGTTTGGGGTCTCATGTGTTTTGGGGCGTTTTGACGTTGGAATTAGGGGGGACAAGGGTCTGAGATTCAAAGACTCCCTAAACTCTGAACCCAAAACCCTCATTTCCGCCCCCAAGCAAAAGCCCAGCAATCATAGTAAATTCCAAACCCCGAAGTTCTTTTGGGCTCGGGTCGGTCTTGATAAACCGCCCGACTGTGTACATTCCTGCATCCTGCGAACCCTGGCTTAACCTGAAACCCGATATAAACCCTAAACCACATATAAAGCCTACCCTATATTCAAGACCGTCAAACCCTAAAACCCTAAAAAGCCTTAGTCTTGAGGGCACGTGGCCCAACCTCTACTGGGCTCTTGTCCCCTTTTGTTCAGGAGGTTAGGTTCCCGTAGTAGACCCCAGACCCTGAACATTAAATTCTTAGGGTAGTTCGTAGACCCTTTTATACCATACACCCCTTGTGTATCCTATGAAGCATAGGGCCCATACTGCAGTAAGGGACCATATTCAGACACGAAGTAACTACCCCGTAAATAGTTAAACCTTAAGCCCTAAGCCCTAAACTCTAAACTCAAAGGCCTATATAAACTCTAACCTAAACCCTGAACTCTAAACTGTAAAGAATCCCCTAAGCCCTACAGGCCCCCCCACCCCCAATTCGACACCCTAACCCCTACACTCGGGAATCTGAACCCTAATCCCGAAACCCTAAACCCAAAAGTTTAGGGTTTAGGGTTTAGGGTTTCGGGTTTTGGGTTTAGGGCCTCCCTAAACCCTAAACCCTAAACCCTAAACCCTAAACCCTAAACCCTAAACCCTAAACCCTAAACCCTAAACCCTAAACCCTAAACCCTAAACCCTCGCCCACAAAACAGCCACCCTGGCCTTGCTTTGGGTCCACTTCTCCGTAAGATCCCGGAGCTTCGTCAGGAACATCGCCGTCACCTACGCGGAATTAGGCCGAAGCTGGGCAACTTCGGGGGGTTTAGGGTTTAGGGTTTAGGGTTTAGGGTTTAGGGTTTAGGGTTTAGGGTTTAGGGTTTAGGGTTTAGGGTTTAGGGTTTAGGGTTTAGGGTTTAGGGTTTAGGGGCCTAGGGCTTAGGGCTCAGGGCTCAGGGTTGAGGGTTGAGGGTTTAGGGTTTGGGGTTTAGTGTTCGGGTCATGTTGGGTTCTCACGAGTTGCTAGGCCCTAAACCCTGAGCCTTAAACAAATCGTTAGTTGTTGTGGATTTTGCTGGGGGCCTGCGGGTGTAAGGGCTTTTAGAGGCTTCCGGGCTGTTTCCTTTCCTAGACATGGGGGACAGCAGCTGAAGGCTTCAGCGTCCAGGGCTTCAGAACCCTAAACCCTAAACCCTAAACCCTAAACCCTAAACCCTAAACCCTAAACCCTAAACCCTAAACCCTACACCCTAAACATAACCCTAAGCCGCAAATGAACAAACGATTCGAAGCAACCTGGCTTGCTCATTGGGGCACGTGGCCTCATTGCAGCTCGGTAGCTCAGACCGAGATGTCCGAAATTCACTCAAAGAAGTCTCCCTTCGCTTCCTAACTGTTACACGATGGTGTCTTAGCCATCTGGCATCCATTGTTTTTTCCACGATCACCTTTCCCTCAACGATGCGGTTGCTTTCATATAGCAACAAACGACTCATAACTTAGGGATCGAATGAAATGGTGCTCAATTCATCACTGCGGCTCGTCTAGATCTTCGTAGCACCCTCAAGCCTTAACATAAACCCCTCTTCTCGTGCCGCTGGCTTCCCCGAAGACCTCTTCTATCGGTCGTTCTTCCGGCCTCGTGGCGACGCTCGTCAACGGTAGTCCCGGTGGTACGTTGCAGTCGGGCTCCTCGTCTCCATACGTCTGCGTGACCCTGTCACACATCCACGGGCGTGCCAGGCTGGCCTTCTCCTCAGTGGCTGGGCCACACTGCGTTGTGGCATGCCTGTGCCCCTTCTGGCGCCTCAAGCAGAACCGCCAGTCCGGTATCATCTCCTCGTCGGAGGAAGCCTCCGATTGCTCGCTTCTCTGGGACTCAAGAGGGCGAGGTCGATTGATTTCTGTGCACCACATCTCCGGGTCCTTGATGGCGGCAGTCGCCAGGGTCTTTCCGGAATCCTCCACCTTTATTCTATACTGATCTTGGAAACCTGGCAAAAAACACAACTTTGACTCTTTCTTAGGAACTGTAGTACCCACAAGTTTTAAAAATAATTTCCCCCAAAAACCCCCAAGGTAATCTTCAAATGCCAATACCGATGCAAATTTGAACGGTCGATTCACTTTGTATTCGGCCCCACACTTCGAGCCGTTCCCTGCATCCTAGGGTTTAGGGTTTAGGGTTTAGGGTTTAGGGTTTAGGGTTTAGGGTTTAGGGTTTAGGGTTTAGGGTTTAGGGTTTAGGGTTTAGGGTTTAGTGTTTCGGGTTTAGGGTTTAGGGTTTAGGGTTTAGGGTTTAGGGTTTAGGGTTTAGGGTTTAGGGTTTAGGGTTTAGGGTTTAGGGTTTAGGGTTTAGGGTTTAGGGTTTAGGGTTTAGGGTTTAGGGTTTAGGGTTTAGGGTTTTGGAGCTTAGGGCTTTAGAGTTCGCTAAGTCCTAAAGAATCTTGCTCCCTACATCGTATTCCGGAAAGTTTATCTCTTTTTCGGTTCATCTGAAGTTCAACTTCCTCAACTAAAATATGTCTCATTTTGCTCTATCAATACTTTGACTATCTACAAGACATTTGCTTGCAATGTATTTAGCGTCTTGATTCTAATAATTGTGCATACAATTTTGGTATAAAGATATCATGCCCCATCCGGTGAAAGCATCGTCATCCATCATGTTACTACAACATTGACAATCACAAAACAAATCTTTGATGATATGATATTTGATTATTCGATTTATTATCTATTGTAGTCCAAGATGTAGTTAATGAGCTATGTTCAGAATAACAACAAATACTCTCCATCTTGAGTTCGCCCCCAGAAATGTTTCAGGTCGCGGTTCACCCTCAACCCCCAGCCCCCCTATAGAGGCCCGAAACCTCGCCCAGCGAGGTTCCAGGTTGCGCGCAACCCAACCACCAGGCCCCCCCCCCCCCCCCTGTACAGTGTGTTGTGAGTGCGGAGGGAGGGAGGGAGCGCAGGCGGGCGGCGGGCGGCGGCGGCGGCGGGGGCAGCCAAGAAAATCACATAGCGACGCGGGGAGCAGAGCACACAAAAACGCCTTCTTCAAAAGTCCAAAATGGCCTGGAAACCCAGCAGCAACCTTATAGAACCCGAAACGCCTACACACCCTAAACCCTAAAACCCGAAACACCTAAACACCCTACACCCTAACCCCGAAGTAAACACCCTTTAGCTTTCGACCTTTTTCTGCAGGCTGAGGATTCCTGACGGCTGGCCTGGACGGCTGACATGTCCCTCGACTCGCCCTTGTAGTTGACCTGGTCTAGGATGACCCTGAAAAAAACCGTCCGGAAAATCCTAGGGTTTAGGGTTTAGGGCTTAGGGCTTAGGGTTTAGGGTTTCGGGTTCAGGGTTTAGGGTTAGGGTTTAGGGTTTAGGGTTTAGGGTTTAGGGTTTAGGGTTTAGGGTTTAGGGTTTAGGGTTTAGGGTTTAGGGTTTAGGGTTTAGGGTTTAGGGTTTAGGGTTTAGGGTTTAGGGTTTAGGGTTTAGGGTTTAGGGTTTAGGGTTTAGGGTTTAGGGTTTAGGGTTTAGGGTTTAGGGTTTAGGGTTTAGGGTTTAGGGTTTAGGGTTTAGGGTTTAGGGTTTAGGGTTTAGGGTTTAGGGTTTAGGGTAGTATTGCTGAGTATGATCCTCTTGAACCCAATAAGGGGAAATGTACAATATCCCAAAGGCTTTCCTAGGTTTAGAGTGTAAAGGGGTTGCTCCTAAACTGAAAGCGCGAAATCGCCAGTTTGGGGGGGTAAGGGTTAAGGCTAAGGGGGTTTAGGGGCTTACCAGTTTGGGTCTTCAAAGGTTCTTGGGTTCCCTACGCTCTGGACTCCAAACCCTAAACCACGAAATCCCTAAAAATCCCTAAGCCCTGAAGCTTGCCTAAAAGCCCCCCAGTATCAACCCCTTTGTGGGCCTTCAGGGCAAGGTTTGGGGACCGTTCAGGGGTTCCTTCTCGTGGAGCTGCTGCTCAACAGAGACCGTGTATACTGTCGACGAGAATCCGTGGGACCCATCCACCCTCCAGGACGCGGGAGCCAGTAAGGTTTAGGGTTTATGGTTTAGGGCTTAGGGCTTAGGGCTTAGGGCTTCGGGCATAGGGCATAGGGTTGAAATGCGCCCTTTGATTTTTGAGGGTACTTCAGCAGTACTTCTGGGGGGCCCAGGTGGACCCTAAACAAACCTCTACTCCTATTGCTTGAAGTACGCTTCATTCCGGAGAACCGTGGAGGTTTAGGGTTTAGGGCTTAGGGTTAGGGTTTAGGGTTTAGGGTTTAGGGTTTAGGGTTTAGGGTTTAGGGTTTAGGGTTTAGGGTTTAGGGTCTAGGGTCTAGGGTTCAGGGTTTAGGGTTTAGGGTTTAGGGTTTGGGGTTTAGGGTTTAGGGTTACCCGCGCCACGATGCGCCTGGTAGCCCAGGCCCCCGTCCTGGCAAGCCATGGTTGTGGAGCTTTTGATCCTAAACCCTAAACCCTAAACCCTAATCTCCTAAACCCTAAACCCGAAACCCTAAGCCCTTTCTCACGCGACTCTACCTTGGACCCCTAAGGTTGTACCCGTGGGTTTGGGGACCCTGTTGAAATTTTGCTGAAGAAATATGAGGGCAATCTTAGGAATATGAGGGTTCCCAACCCTAAGGCTCCAAGGACTTTTATTTTGAGGTTTTTTGGGTCATTTTGAGTCTGAGCCTAAGGGCTAAGGTCGTACCCTTGGGTTTGGGGACCCTTTTTCAAGATTCCTGAGATGATATGAGGGCCATATTGAGAGTTTAGTGAGGGAACCTCTTAGTTGTGCATTCTTCGGGGTCCGAGTATGACTGAGTTTCAGCCTTCGGGTTTAGGAATGCTCGGCCTCGGCCAAAGTCCTACGAAACCGACAAGCCCTATGATTCCACCACAACCCCAGAAACCCTGCAAACTAGACTATACAAACCCTGCAAGCCCTGCAAACCGAACCCCTACATTGGGGTTTTAGGGCTGAGTGTGTAGGGTTTAGGTTTAGGGTTTTGGGTTTTGGGTTTAGGGTTTAGGGCTTAGGGTTTGGGGCGTGGGGTTTTGGGTTTTGGGTTTAGGGTTTGATTGAACCCTAAAGTTCAGGGTTTGGGGATGTGGGGTCCTGGAGGCTCGGAAGAAAGCAATAAGGGTTTAGGGTTGAGGGTTGAGGGTTGAGGGTTGAGGGTTGAGGGTTGAGGGTTGAGAGTACTTTTCCCCAAGTTAAGGCCCCGAGCAAGGCTCACTTAAGGGTTCTCTGGGCCTGAAACTCCAAGGCTAGTTCCACGGTCCCTTCATAACCCTAAACCCCAAACCCCAAACCCCAAACCCCAAAACCCCAAACCCCAAACCCTCAACCCTAAACCCTAAACGCTAAACCCTAAACCCTAAACCCTAAACCCTAAACCCTGAACCCTTAACCTTGCCTTCTTTGAAAGGGTTCTGAAGTTTGGGACCTTTGGTTTCATAGGGTACATAAGGGGAGGGATCCCCTTTTACGGACCCATACTAAGGGGCCATGTAAAGAGAAAACCCTAAACCCTAAACCGTAAACCCTAAACCCTAGGCGCTAAACCCTGAACCCTAAACCAAGGCTTAGAAGGACCCGAAGCTCCCTCCTCGCCAATTTGTGGGAGACCTTATTTTTTGGCATAGTTACCTTCACGCACAGGTCCGTGGGTTTCCGAGCCCTAAACCCTAAACCCTCACCTCCAGCCAACCCTAAATCTCGTCCCTAAACCCTACCCTAAACCCTAACCTTTTGTTAGTTTCATAGCTTGAGTGTGCCGGATTCTGCACTTCTAGGGCCCAGAGCGGGACGATTTCAGAAGCGTCGCTCCCGCGACCGGCATTCACACGAAGTCATGTTATGCACCAAGGTCGGGGCCTCAACTAAGCCCGAAACTCGAAACCCTAAACCCTAAACCCCAAACCCGAAATCCTAAACCCCAACCCCAAACCTAAACCTAAAACCTTCAGGGTTTAAGGGTTTAGGGTTAGGGTAGGGCGCCAGAAGCAACGTCAAGTGTAGCGCGCAAACAAGCCGGATGGGCTGGGCACACGCCGATGGTTGACGTGGACCAAAAGTCCTGTCCCAAAGAGGTCTCTATTGCACCCTGAACCCTAAACTCCTCGAAACACGCTAGGCACCCTAAAACGCCCTAAGCACCCGATAAACCTGGACCCTACGCTACAAACCCAATCAGCCTAAAAGCCTATACCCTAACCCTAACCCTAGAGACCCTAAAGCTTTAAAACCGAGGATTTCAGTTTTGCAGGGGTTTAGGATTTGGGCAATTTGGGGTTGGAGAGAGTTGGGGAGTGTAGGACTAAGGACTTTAGGGCTTTAGGGGTTTCAAGGTCTAGGCTGATGCAACTTCGCCACCCCTTTTGTCAGGAGTAATCACAAAGAGAAAAACGATCGTCGGAAGAAGCACCGGAAGCAGAGAAGAAAGAAGCAACAACAACACCCAATGCAGAACCAACAGTGACTACTGGCAATAATGACAGCAGAAACAAGAAGACAATAACAACAGTAACGAACAAACGAGAACTATATGATAACTATGATAATTATGATAGCTATGAGAACAATAGAAGAACAGTAACATCAGCACACATTCTCACAGCAATGGCGATGACAATCGTAACAAGAACCATGAGAACAAGACAATAACAACACCACTGACGATAAGGATGGTAACGATATGACGGCAAGAAGAGGAAGCATAACACAAATGACAGTAACAGCAAACACAAGAGAATGACAACACTGACAACAGCAACAAGACACCGGAACACTACACAACAAAACCCTAAACCCTAAACCCTAAACTTGGCATGTTCCCCCATAAACTAACAGTCCTTCATATGGATTGGAATGGGGGGGTACTATAATCCGTACTAAGGACTGTTAGTTTTCAGTATAACGGGGAACATCCCAACCCTTTGCCCTAAACCCTCAACCCTAAACCCTAAACCCGAAAAGAATGGCGCCTCCTCCTTCACCTGCGGAGAGTCCAACTGCTGCCCCAGCAGGTGCTTGAAGTTTCTGCCTCGGCCGTTCTCTGGGGTTTCAGGAGCTCAAGGAACCCCCAAGCCCTAAACCCTAAACCCAAAACCCTAAACCCTGAACCCCAAACCCTAAATCCCCAAAGTTTCAGGCTCAGGGTCGTGGAATGCTGTGATGTCTGCATCCGGTCTGGAATCCCCAACCTCCTGAACAAGAATTCCTGAAGAAACCCTGAACAGACCCCGGTGGCAACGGATCTGGCTGTTCGCTTGCGTGATGCGCAGGGACCGTACCGCCGTACCGCCCCACCCCCCCGCCAACAATGAGGGGATATGGACTAATTTCAGTTCAAAGAGGGGGGGGGGGGGGGGGGGGGGAAGGCCTCAACCCTAAGTTCTACGTCCTGAGTCCTAAACCCTAAACCCTAAACCCAAAAAGAGGTGGTAGTTTTCTCACAATCTGGACCCGAATGCGCTCTAGCCCCAGAACCTTTCAGCTCCCAAACAACATCCCATCGAAACACCCCTAAAAGAGCACAGAAGGCTGAACACCCAAGACATATAACCTAACCACGCTAAAGCCGAAAACCCTAACCACCCTAACCACCCTAGCTACCCTAACCACCCTAACCACCCTAACCACCCAAACCACCCTAACCACCATAAACCCCAAACCCCAAGCCCGAAACCCTAAGCCCTAGACCCTAAACCCTAAACTCTAAACCCTACACTGCAAGCTCTGGGGGGAAGCCGAGGCCTGGGCAAGTATTCCTTGGACGCACGGGCACACGAACCGAGGGCAAAGCAACCGCAAACAGAGGTGGAGGGAGGGGTACTGGGGTTGGTTTGGGGTTTAGGGTTTAGGGTTTAGGGTTTAGGTTTAGGGTTTAGGGTTTAGGGCTTAGGGTTCAGGGTTTAGGGCTTAGGGCTTAGGACTTAGGGTTTAGGGTTTAGGGTTGTTGAGGGTTTAGGGTCCCTTTACTAGTTCGGTACCCAGAAGCCATACTAAGTAGGGGGGTTAGGGTTTAGGGCTATTTTGGGGTGGAGAGTTCAGGGTTCATGGTTTATGGCTTCAAGGTACCTACTTCCATAGCTGGACCCAAGAGTAACCTAGAAATAAGAAGGGTGCCCTTGTTGGTTTAAAACTTGCGCTTATAGGGGAACCTAAACCCTGAAATAAGACAAAAGGGGCCTACTCTGGGTCCTAGTCTAGGGTCTATAGGGTATTGGGTTTTTTGGTTGGTTTTGGGTGTAGGGTTTAGGACAAGGGTGTGGGGGGAAGAGGAAGGGGGCTAACAAAAAGGTGTTCCTCAAAGATTTGGGGCTTACAGAGGGTTTGTGCAGGGGGTTGCTTTGAAGTGGGCCCCTTGTGGTTGTGGAGGTTCGGGCCCCTTCCATAAAAAAACGTGCTTCGGCTGCAGGTTTAGTGCTTAGGGGCTGGGAGGCTTCAGGGTCTGGGATGTAGCCGTTGGGAGCCCTAAACCCTACACCCCTAACCCCTAAACCCTAAACCCTAAACCCTAAACCCTAAACCCCTAAACCCTAAACCCTAAACCTCCTGTACCTGCATTGAGAATCTTGATCCCCGGCTCGCGGCAAAACGTGCCAAGTTCACTCCTCAGCCACCTGAGCATCCCTCAACCCCAAACCTCAAAGGGTTTAGGGTTTAGGGTTTAGGGTTTAGGGTTTAGGGTTTAGGGTTTAGGGTTTAGGGTTTAGGGTTTAGGGTTTAGGGTTTAGGGTTTAGGGTCAGGGTTCAGGGTTTAGGGTTTAGGGTTTAGGGTTTAGGGTTTAGGGTTTAGGGTTTAGGGTCCAAGGCTCAGGGTGTAGGGTTTAGGGTTCAGGGTTTAGAGCTTAGGGTTGTATTAGGGCTTAGGGTTCAGGGTTAGGGGTTTGGGGCTGAGAGTTTAGGGTTATTTTCGGGACTAGGGCTCAGGCCTTACCAGCCTTATCCGCGACCACAACCGGCTGTTTGTGGGCAATGTCCAAAGACACATCATCGAGCCATAAGTCTTCATGAGACGTGTAGGCAGGCTGATGCATGCGCCAGAGGGGTCTCGAAACTGGCAGGTGCTGCCCATGGACAGCCTTGAATAAGGCTCTGCGAGGGCCAGAATGCCGGTGAGGTGGGCCCCTCACCCGTGACATACCGGGGGCCTTGGTAC